TTCAAAGCTTCAGTTAATTGAAGTCGACCGGCTCTTAGAGTTCTGGTGTCAGAGACAGAAGGACAAGGTTCGCCCAACCTTTGAATTCAAAGCCTGGGAAGGCCATGATAGAAGATGAGAGAACCGGTAGAAACAATTTCGGGCAGGATTCTGACACCAGACTCAACAAGCAGCAGCCAGTCCGGGTCAAAAGTCAACCAGAAGCAGGAGGGAGGAAAAAGTTAAGTAGTGAGGATGAGGGTGATGAAGAAGATGATGAAGAAGATGAAGAGGAGGAGGAGACAAGGAAGAAGAAGAAGAAATGAGGAGAGGAGAGGAAGGAGAGGAGATACAGAAGGAGATGATAGAACGATGAAGAAGGACAGGAAGAAGTTCTCCCATGTCCACCTTCAAAGTCCAAACATACCAACAAGCGGGGCAGGGTTCCTCTGGTTCAATCTGATTCAGAGGAAGAACTCTCGCCCACTGGTGCAATAAATCCAAGATGATTGTGCAGGGCGCAATGAAGTCCCATCGCCACCTTCAAAGTCTCACCCAACCACAAGCGGAGAGCAGGGTTCCCTCCAGTTCAATCTGATTCAGAGCCGGAAGATTCTCCCCTGCCGGTCAAGAAATCCAAGGTGACTGTCAGGCGCAATGAAGTCTCATCAGCACCGGTTCATCCGGTGCAATCTGAATCGGAGCAGCAGGATTCTCACCCACCGGTAAAGAAATCCAAAGTCATTGTCAAGGGCAATGGACCATCAGAAGACAATACCGGGTACCAGTTCTAGTCATCCGCTGCCCTCACACCATGCATCTACAAGTCGCTCAGTTGGTCCTGCATCAGGTGTCCGGACCATGAAAATTCAAAGCGACCGGTGCCGGAACCAACGCCTCCTTCCCCTCCAAAGGCCACCGGCAAGAAAACTGCAGGACAGGAAGCCCACATTACCAATCTGGAGCCAAAACGCTCCAGTAGAAATGCAAAGGCATCTTATAAAGCTCATTATATGCAAAGGTAATGATTTGGATAGATGGACATTTTATATTACAAGTATTGTAGACCAGGGTAGATAGTGCTTGACCGGATAGATACATCATGTTGACAGTTGAGGTATCAATATCAGTTGACATGCCAGCAATAAGTCTTGAGTGAACCCAAGGACTTGCTCCCTTGCAAAGGCCTCTTCCGGCGAAATTGCACCACCATCCCTGTCCATCTCCAACTGGTGCACTGCAACCTGCAAATCACCTACCGCCCACTGAATAACAAACCCAATGGGATCCGGTTGACTGACGGCTACTGAATGCAGGTGATTAATCATTTAATATCTAACAAAATGAAGACTTACATGACTGATCCGGAAACTCATTGACCGGATCTGCTTGAAAACCCATCTCCAAGGGGCTCTCTACTGGTTGAATACTGTTCCCTATGTCCGGAACATGATCTACCGGATCTGTGTCAAAACCCATCTCCAGAGGGCTGCCTTCTAATTGAGTATCATGGATTGAATTGAAAAATGAGCAAGTTGATGTATTAGATATAGTCTAGCACCAGTACCTGTGTTACCGGCCTGGATGACTGACTTGCAGAGAGTTTGCCGGGTGAAGGGAGAGTCCATCATCTCCGGATTTGGGTAGAAATCCCATGTCAAATACATCATTGTCAGACTCCAGAGGAAATTCCATGTCCAGTGCATCGTCTAATTCCAGTGGGAATTCCATGTCTAACGCTTCTGACTCCAGAGGAAATCCCAGGTCCAACATCTGATATTCCTGTAACTCCGGTGCGGGTGCGATGTTGGATGACCGGTCGTTCGTCAGACAGGGTGGGGAATTGCATGTCCAAAGTGTCAGACATCCGGTCATCATCAGACAATGGAAATCCCATGTCTAATGACCGGCGCTCCTCGGCGGTCATCTCCAACATCTTCAATGTTTTACCATCCTTCCACCGGTCATGAGCTGACAGGATATCTAAATCTCCAAGACAAATATCAATTGTCAGTGTGACAGGCCAGAATGAGATAAAACTCACATTCAGCCATGCTTGAACAATCCATCAAAGGGTCGTTGTAAGTGCGCTCCTCGTGTTCCGGCTCTAATAAGTCAAATACTAGTATGCCGGATAATGTCAACAGGTACATTCCCAAAGGCAATGATTTCTCACCTTCATCCTCACTAGATAGTTGTAAATATTCTTGCTGCAATCGCTGAGGATGACATGGTTTTCTTCCTTGTGTTGGGTGCCTTCTTTAAATTGATGTTCTTCATGCGATCACCGGAACAATGAATGTGTTCTACTGTAGCCGGATGCTCTGCTGGCGATAATTTGATAAAGATGACGTGTCAACAATAGCATCCACACAATGAGAAATAAGTAGCTAAAAATAGATAATGATGACGTGGCAACGATGGCCCGGGCATCCAGTGATGAAAAATTTTCACAAGTGTTTGTATTGGTCACTTCCGGGTGTCTTTTTCACTTGCTCTCACTCGATACTCAGCTCATCCATCTGCCAGTGCAATTTTCTAACTACCCAGATGTCATCCAACTCCACTTCTGCTTCTGCTTCTGCCGCTGCTGCTGCCAACCAGGTGCTCATCGCTCTGATTGCCAGACTCAATGAGATGGCTGAACAGGTGCTCCGGTCCCAGTCAGAGGAAGAGAAAATGGGATTGAGCCGGAAGATTGCTCATGAAGTGGTATGTTTGATGTCCTTCTGTGTATTGCCTGTATTGATACCAGGGTCTCAGAATGACGCGATTCATTCGCATGGGAGGGTCGCTACCTACATCCCCCCTCGCCTGCTGTCCATGGCAGCTGAGATCTTTCGTGCTCAGAGGCGCACGACTCAACTGGCGGAAGTCCCGGACTGGAACCACGTTGGGCACAACCAGGAGATGTGCATGAAGCATCCATTGTATGGTAAGACATTGGGTGCTGCACCGGCGGTCATCACACCTGCACCTGCACCTGCACTGGCCCCAGCCCCAGCCTCTGCACCGGCGGTCACCACACCTGCACCTGCACCAACACCCTCAAAGACACCAGCACCAGCACCAGTCCCACCCCCAGTCCCAGGCCCATCACTGGCGCCTGCACCTCAGCCTGTTCCATCCTCTGGTCAGTCATTACCAGCACACTGTTTCAGCATTCGCATCCCTGGAAATACAGCATCTGGTGCAACTGGACCGGCCGGACCCTCCAAATCGCGCAAGCGAGAACTCAGTACTAGTCCCCCTGTGTGTCAGTTTAAGAGGGCCCGGAAGCGTCTCCTCAAGTCAAGGGAAGTCTTGTCCAACACTGACTCTGACAAGGTGAAGCTGAAGGTGAAGAACAAAGGGAAAGCAAAGGGGAAGGGGAAAGGGAAAGAGAAGGCGAAGGCGAAGGTACCGGAAGATGATGAGGATGAGGATGAGGAGATGGCAACTGATGTTGATGATCTTCCGGTCGTCCAGGCAAGTTTCTTTCCTTCTCTTTCACTTAACATTACTGACATAGCAAACAGCACCAGAAGTCGACGCGCAACCCCTCCAAACACAAGGTAAGTCTTCATTGCCTTCAAAAACAGTCACTATCGACTGACAAAATTTACCGGACATACTTGTCCTTCCACAGAACAAGGGCGCTGCACCGGAGGGAAGTGAGACAGATGAGATTCCGGAAGATGATGACAATGATTTGGAGGGTGATGATACCCAAGGCAAGTGAAAGGTATGTTCATCATTTTCATTCTTACCGGTGGCTCATTCATCCTGATGCAGGCTACCGTCAAGCCGGGGAAACAACACAAACCGGTAGGTTTTACTTCTCATCGCAACGGTGATTCATATGGCTAACATATTTCATTAATCTACACGTCCCATGGGCAAGGACCACAGCAAGAAGGGCAAGGGCCAACAACCAGTGAGACGTCCGGTCAATATCATTTTTACTATACTAATTTGTCATAGCTGGACGTTGATGGACCTTTACCTCATTGCGAGAGATGCCAGTCGAAGCATGTGCAGTGCATCCCGCGATTGATGAAGAAAGGCGAGGTTGGCCTAAGTTGCACCTTGTGCCATCTGTGGAAGATGGCATGCATCAGGCCCAACCCAGTGTCCACGGACAGCACCGCTGTCACCACCATCACCCCCAGCATCACCGCTACACCACCTGCAAGAGCCATCACCACCTGCAAGAGCCGTCACCACTCGCTCCAAGACGAGCCAGTCAAAGACCACCGGACAGAGCAAGACCGGTGGGCAGTCGTCCAAAGGCAAAGGTAAGTCTCTTGTTTCCGGTCGTAGGTTTCTGGCGCTCATTCGCCCTTGTAGACAGGGATATTCGACATCCCAGTCCCATCCAAGAGGAAGAGGATGACGACGTCCAGATGATCGATGACGCTCTGGAAGTGACTGGTACCGGTGGTACCACACCACAACCAGTGCCTCTCACATCGGTAGATGATTTCCCCGCAGACCACTGGATTGAACCAGGCACTGACGACATGCCACCTCCACCACCGGTTATGGCCCCAGAGGACGACATCCGGGACTCACCCATCCCTCCGGTCCATCATCCACTCTCCCCCATCGCACCTTCCGGGTCCCTTCCATCCATCCAGCACCCTCTCGCTAATGAGGAGATGGAGGCCATGTTGGCCCAGATTGCATCGATATGGAGGCACTCCGGACACGCAATAGGATAGAAGTTGACATCCGGCAAGATGACCTGGAGCGTTGCATCAAAGTCGCCAAAGCATTGGATGCTGCCATGACCGTGCAGATCGACCGGATACAGGGGGATGTGGACGCGCACCAGAGACTCATAACTGGGTTGTCCATCCAACTCCAAGCAGTTGTGAGGTATATGAGGGGGGATAGGTCCGATGAAGGGACAGCAACAACCCCACCAGCATTCAATCCACCCCCCATTGTTGCCAGCCCATCCATCAGTGCATTCGGTTGCACGTTGACCAACGACGTCTTCACTCCGGATGCATCTTGGATGAGCGCCCAGACCGGTGGTGATCTCATTGGCATTGAAGACGGCTCACCAGTCGCAAGGCAAGCACGGGCGCCATCCACTTCCACCATCAACCCGGCACTCACCACAACAGTATCCGGCCCATCTGTTCCTCTGGGTGATGCACCACCGGTACCACCTCTCATTCTCCTGGTGGGGTCCATGCCTCCATCTGGCACCCTTCACGCATTGATCACCAGAGGGCCGTCAAATGTGCTGGACAATGGTCAGTCCACCTCGGCTCCTTTGCCACGCCAACAATATGGACCTCTATCCCTCCAACATGGTCAGTCGGCGAGCACTAGGCATGCTAAGAAGCCTTCCAGTGACATGGAGAAGTAATACTACTACATATTTTTCATGTTTTCATCTGTATTAGTAGTCTATTATGCTCTCAACATTGTGGGCTTTCAATGAGCAAGATCACTTATGAGATAATCTCACAGTTGACTTGCATAACCTGCATTTCAGTCAGTAAGGAGTGTTTCTGTACCGGATGGGATATCATGCATCTACCGGTGATCATGCAGATCCGTCTCAAGTGCACATCCTTTACCAGCCCACCCGTCTTCATTCCACATCCTATACTGGCCCAACCGTCTGGATTGGATGTCCTGTACCGGCCCATCTGTCTGGATTGGATGTCATTTACTGGCCCATCTGTCTTGATTGCACCTCCGGCCCACCTGTCTCGATTGCATGTCCTATACCAGCCCATCTGTCTTGAGTGCACATCCTTTAATGGCCCACCTGTCTCAATTGCACATCTTATACCGGCCCATCTGTCTCAACTGGATGTCATTTACTGGCCCACCTGTCTTGATTGCACATCCTTTATCAGCCCATCCATCTCAACCGGATGTCCTTTACCAGCCCACCCGTCTTGATTGCATGTCCTTTACCGGCCCATCCATCTTGACCGGATGTCCTTTACTGGCCCACCCATCTCAATTGCACGTCCTATACCAGCCCATCCATCTTGATTGCACATCCGGCCCACCCATCTCGATTGGACATCATTTACTGGCCCATCTGTCTCGATTGCACCTCCGGCCCACCTGTCTCGATTTCACGTCCTTTACCAGCCCATCCATCTCAAGTGCACCTCCGGCCCATCCGTCTCAATTGCACATCCTTTACTGGCCCACCTGTCTCAAACGCACCTCATTTACCGGCCCTATCATGCGGTCCACCCGTCTCCATTTTACCTCCTTTACCAGCCCACTCGTTTACATTGCACTCCATTACTCCGGCCCACTCATCTATCACACTGGATTCACTACTATTGTTGATATCCTATATAGTACATTCCTGTATTACCATCCATACCATATACCCCCGGCCCATGTGTTTGCCTCGGATACACCACACCCTCGGCCCACACCGGATGGCCTGTCTCTATCAGTACATTGTCATGCCTGGCTGCCTGTCTGAGATGGGTATATGTTACTGTATTATGTGCCTCAATACCTGTACTCAACTCTCTCAACTCATGATCAGCATCCTGTGTCTTCACATCAAACCTTTGCATCAGTGACTTCGCCACAAGATTGACAGTGTGGAGGAAACATCTGATATGAGATGTTTCTCCGCCAAACTCAAGTGCCTTACCACTCAGTTCGCGAATCATTGCATCGTTGTTGGATGCATTATCGCAAGTCACACTGAGGATCTGTGCATTGTATGTTTAGCTGCATGTAAGTTTTTTTTTCAGTTTGAACAATACCTTTGCTGATATGCTGAATTCCTCTAGCATTTTTGCAAATGTCTCTACAAGCTCTTCACCAGTGTGGGACTGTGGTCTCATTAGCACATATACGCCTACTAGATTGGTATTTCACCTTCACGACTTCAATAACGTCTAACGGTATACTTAGTGGCTCCCCTTTGTGCTCAAAGTGGGCCAAAAATGCTACCAATGCGCGATGGTTGGGTGACATCCAACCATCTGTAGTAAAATCAATTTTACTGTCATATTCCTGGTATGTTTTTAACTTTTGATTTTGCACTAACGAAAAAACACTCACCTGTAACATTTTAGCAACCCATTTTTGAGTCCGCACAAAGACAAGTTGCACATGGCAAGAGACAGTGGATGGGGAAGGTATGTGGTATTCTGGTCTCCCCATTTTCATCAGTGACTGAAATGCACGATCCTTGATGACATCAAATGGACGCAGGCTCTTGGACACCCAATGCACAATTTCAGCCCTGAAGGTGCCATTGTCAGACTCCTGCGACTATGATTGGAAGATGTTCATACCTTGCTTCTGTGCGGGTGTGTTGATGATGCGAGTACGTGATTTTGTCTTTGCCCTTGTGTTCAAAGGATGTAGTAATAGATCCGTTTCGCAGGATACTACTGACAATCTTGTTGCACACTTCATTTGCATCCTTTGCGCTATCTGCAGCTTTCAAGACTTCTTCTCCCCAGCACAAGCGCACATGTTTCCACATGTTACCTGTGGATCGTGCATCACCCTTATCAAGGAAGCGTCGCACTTTCACCTTGTAACCTTTTGCTTGGCACTTGAACTCATGTACGTGGCAGTTGGCGAATTCAGTGATTTCTGGTGTTGGATGAAAAAATGCATAAACGGGTGAGTTCCATTCTTTGTTTAACCACTCTGTTTATACTTGATTAATGTGATAATAATGTATATGTTTTTGGACTTACCCAGCTCGTCTTTGGGATCCTCATCAATGTCATCAACCTGTGTGTCACTACTTGCAGGCCCGTTATCATCTAGGTCAATATATTCATGCAACACATTCAGCTCCTCTTCTGTGCGTACAATGGCATGCCTATTCACAACTGGAGGTGGAGTCACATTCTCCTCCTCCTCCTCCTCCTCCTCCTCTGTGTGCACAACAGCCTGCCTTCTCACAGCTGGAGGTGAAGTCGGCAACACTGTCCTTGGCCTATCTTTGTCCACAGGCGCGTTATTGGCTGGCATCATGCTCCCAACTGGTAGGGTTTTTTTTGCCTTCTTGGGTAGCGGATTAATGCTGTCTCTGCTGCAATCAGGTTTCCGCTTCTTTGAAGAAGCTTTCTCTCCAAGTGTGGCTTTAGCTTTGCTCGTCATCTTGATGACACATTTTGTTGTAGTTGAGAGAGCATTGTTGAGCTGCATGGTGGGTGGTGGTACTAGTGGGTGATGGAAATTTGCAGGGCTGGATTTGTCACAACAGTAGTATATTGTAGCACCATTTTGTTTAAAGTTCAACTGTTTGCAACTGTATAGTAACACTGTTTTTAGTTAGTTGAATATTATGTGTTGCATGGCACTCCATTTTAATCAAAACCCAGCGCGAGGGTATGGGTATGGGTATGGGTATCGTAATACCTGACCCGTACCCATACCCCACACGTACCTGTACCCTGCACCTGCACAGGTATACCTGTACCCATGCAGTTCCCTAAGCATACCTGTGTCAATTATTTTGAGCTTTATCATTTTGTGTTATTTTATTTTTGAATCACAATGTTATTCAAGACCTTCTTGTGGAAAGTGTCTTTGGCACTTGTCAACAGATCTAGAATACCATTAGATTTAGCAACAATGCTGTGACACTCCTCCTTTGCAGCCAGTGAGGGGTGGTAGTATACTTAATCCAATTGTTTTGTGCATTGTGAATTTACCTTATTTATGTGTTGAGTTACAATGCTATTCAAGACCTTCTTGTGAGAAGGTTCCTCTGGCGCAGGTCAACAAATGTAGAATGACAATGAGTAGTTCATGATGCAGTCACGACGTTGCGCCATCACGACTGGCCAGGTGTGATAGCAGAATTAGGTCCCACCTATTGAGCAATCCCATATACCTTATTGATGTTTTGACCTGCAAGACAATTCAAGACTCTATTGTGGAAAGTGCAATTAGCATTCATCATCCATCCTAGATTCGCATGAGAGTTCGTGACTTGATCATGATGTTGCACCATTACAGCCAGCAAGGCACAAGTAGGATACTTATATTAACCTTGTTGAGTATTCCCATTTGGCATTATTTATGTTTTGAATTACAACACATTTCAAGACTTTCTGACCTAAGGTTTGTCTGGCACTGATCATCATATTGGATTAGAATGGGCGCTTTGTGACAATGTTGTGATATTGGACCATTGCAGCCCACAAGGAACAGTAGGGTACTTGTCATAACCTTGTTAAGTCTTCTTGTTTTCCCTTTATGTTTCCAATTATGTGACTTTAACTTAGTACAACCGCTCCTTCTGCTCGAGTACATGTCAACTTGGACCTTCCAACCACGTGCAACCATTGAAGCTGGTAGCTTCGTCCAATTCCACACTGATAACCGACTCTCCTGCAAGTCATGAGTGCATCCACGCATGGTCATATATCCTTGTGGATCATGAGCGAATACCTGTGATTATTCACTCAAATAACAATCAATGAAGCCCATCACAATCCTCAATGCTCAACACTCCCCATGCTCAACACCCTGAATGCCTGTCTCCTAGCATCAGCCTGTATGTGCCCATGCCCACTTGTACACCCAAGACTAATCTAATCTTGTACCACAGATATGGCCAGTGCACTTGCGGGGGAATTCTGAAGGTATATTGTTGCATTTTTCAAAGAAGACCAGTCGAACTGGACACCCCAATTGTAGCGAGGCAGATGGCATAGGAAAAGCAATACGTCGGACCCCAGTGGGACGGTACTTTTGTGTGATCCCTGGGAATGATCAGCATCCATCTTCATGAACAACCAGTGTCGACAAACCTGTTGATACTGATATTACACCCCATACCACCATACAAGAAGGAATGAAGATAGAAGGTCTCACCAGTGTTATAAATCAGATAGAACTTGGATGGCTTATTGACAGGACCTCTTCGAGTCGACTTCTATGAACACATGTATGCATGTGAGGATACGGAGGGATTTGGGGCCTCTTTTCTGCTGATGGCTGGTGAATGGAGTGTGGAATAATTAACAAGGTTATATGACAGGTGGCTCACCTTCGACTCTGATAGATAAACTGTACACGATGACATGATGACACAGATAATGACAAGCACAACAAATCGACGACACGCAGAGTGGAGGGCACTGAGGTAGTGAAGTGAAGTGTTGTCGAAGTGCTGAGGACAGCACCTTCATACACGGGCAAAGCAACAATGAGGACAGGAAAGGAATCGAACTTGAAGAGGACATGAGCAATACTTTCAAGGAGGATGGTAGTAAAGCAATTTTTGTACTTGTGGACGACAATGTTTGCCAATGTGGTCATCTCAGACAAACATTCGGACTCAACATTTGAGTGTGCATGCGATGAGGATGATGGAGAAGATTATCATAGTACAGGAGAGGAGTGGTAAATGAATGGATGTCCAGTTCATTGCTATTATGGGCAAACACTGGAAAGTGAGTGAGTAGTCTTGCTGCCAGCCATTCCAAAGTAGATGAAACATACCAGGTGATTATGACAGCATGCAGGTAGAGACCCTAACAAGCCTAATCATGGTATCTTTAATTCTTACCTATGTGGTGTGGTGAACTAGTGGGGTTATCGAGGCACTTAACATGGAGTCTTCATACATGGGCAAAGCAATGACGAGACAGGGAACTTAGATAGAAGAGAACATGAGTGATACCTTCAAGGATGATAACAGTGAAGATTTGCCAATCTGGCAGAATAACTGTATTCATTCATTCATCTCAGACAAATGGATGCAATTATTCTGGCTACTTGGAGGACCGGTCAGGTGAAGGAGTTTGATGCCCTGCTTGTCTTGTTGCTAGCCATTGTGTTTGAATGCAAAATCACTAAGGACAAATGTAAGAATATTCATTCATTCTCAAGTATCCATCATACACTCATTATATATCTACCACTATAGAATGAACAACTATCCAAATGCTAACAGAGGAGTCAATGGGAACCACAATCATGAGGTGCATTGTGTATTAGTTGTTATCATATCAATTACTTATTGTTGATATGGAGATCCCTGCCCTGCAACATGTACCAAGGCCTCGAAACGTGATGTTCATGATGACCGAGAGGGCATCGGTGAGGAGTTCATGCATTCGCAAACTGCATTGCTAACATCTCACAAGGACATGATGTATACCACCTGGGCTGCCATGCGAGTGCATGTGCGCCAACAGCAATACCACCCTGACTTACTGTTCCCACCATACCCACGACCACCACTCTGGTCAGACGAGGTGCACACCATGATGGTGCTTTGGATCGTGAGGGAGAGGTGCATGTTCGAGTTGGAGATGATGGAATTAGAATTTTTGCTGGGGCTCAGGGGTGTGTGTTAGCGTTAGTGCTTCCAGGTGAGTTGAAACCATGAAATTACGAACAGACTTATGAACATTTACAAGTCAGACCATATGAATGAATGGGGATCGGAGAATCTAAGGGGCTGATATGACTGAGCGGATGTATTGCACATAATGATTGATAAGAGTAAAACAAGTAGCATTTCACACACTTACATGAATGATCAGTGTTGCCCGTGTTGCAATCTCATTGTGCACCTCTGATCGAAGTTGTTAAGGTCGTGCTCAAGGGAGAGGTTACTCAAAGGGCTTCAGCTTCAGCTCGTGCGCTGCGCCCCTTACCTGAGTACGTGCCCTTTAATTTCCGGGGGACAGAGGGGAAGTCCGACAGAAGTCCGGGGAGTTCCGGAGGACTTAGTGTCGGTGGAGTTTGGCGGAACTCTGGAAGGTTTATATGGGGACAGAGTAAGGCTACTATGGAAGTCCGGAGTAGAAACTGAACAGAGGTTAGACTACCCTAAGACTCAGAGGTGCACAAGAGGTGAGACTCAAGTCCGGAGATTGCAGGAATGAGCAGAACTAAGATGATATTCGAACTGAGGAGTTCCAGAGTATTACAGGGGTTTATATACTGTAGGTATCATGTAGGTAAATCAGTCAGCAAAGGTAAGGGCTATGTACGAAGCATGTGGAAAGTCTATTACTAAGTATAACAGATCAAAGCAGTGAAGTCGGAAATGAAGTAAGAATGGACAGATCAGTAAGCATAGCGGAATAGGACAAAACCGGTAACCGGAGCAATAGCTAATCTAAAAGGAGTTAGGGGTGAGTGCGGAGATGAAGGCGGAGCGCCGGGCAGAATAGTAAGATGGAGGACCGGACTTCAATGAAGTAGATCCGGAATTCCGGATCCGGAGGTATGGGATATGACAGAAGTCCAAGCTTGTCCACAGACAGGTCGGAAGCAAGAACTTTGACACGGGATTTAGCCTGCACATAGCAAGATGATAACTTCCTGGTCTTCATGGAATCTGTTACGCAAGTGGACACATCTGAGTTGTTCTTTGCTCTGCACAGACAGTAAATAGTGGTCACAGAAGGATCCGAAAGTAATTCATCTAGAATATATACACCCAGTGATCCAGTTGCTAGAAGATTGTTCAAAAATGGCATTAGATGACAGCTTCTTGCCACCTAGGTCAATTTCCTGTGTTGTCATTCAGTGTGCAAGAAGAAATCAACAAAAATTTTGAGCTGACTTACTGAATGGTGTTTTGTATTCTACTAGACTGCAATGAGTCCAGCCCAAAATTGAAGAGGTCAGTGTCGTCTTCTAGGCTGTTGATGGACCTATCAATTGTCTTGCCAAATTGCTGTCCTAGCCTCTACCCCATCAATCAGTTGTCTCTTCCCAGCCCTGTCAAAATCACCCTCCAGTTGTTTGTAGGCCTCATTGATGATACCTTCAAATTCCTTGTACACCCAGGGTCTCAAAATGCTGCCCTTATCAGCATGAGGTATCACTGTGCCGTAAGGGAGAAGGACAAGGGCTTCTGTCACAAGCTGGGAGTGCGAGGGAGCTTTGGCATTGGCAAGAGCAATGATAGGTGCTACAAGCTTAATGAGCTGCAAAGGAGAACAATCTTTTACAACTTCTGTTGTAAGAATAAGAGCCCCAATTTGAGTGCGGCCAGCACCAAAAATAATGGCATCTGCAATGTACACACCTTTCAGTCTTATAATACTGTATAACCCTGTCATAGGACATGTACATTGGCCTGCAAAACCAGGTCTACAGGACAACGGCCGGCCCACATATATCCAGGACTGGCCAGCTGTGTGAAACATGTGCAGGCTGGTGACTCTTGAATAAATGCCATATCTGCAGTACCTGGATAGGCCGGTGTGCACCCATGTGCAGGCCGGTGACTCTTGAATAAATGACATATCTGCAGTACCTGGATAGGCTGGTGTGCACCCATGTACAGGCCGGTGACTCTTGTATACATAATGTATCTGCAATACCGGGATGAGCCGGTATGCAGGGGTAGGTGTGGCTGATTATACATATATAAGCTTATTTGTAGTCATACCAGAAAAGCCTATAAGGGCCAGTGCTATAATATCAATACAGGCCTATCATAGCTGACACTACAGTGATATGAGATCATAGGACAAGCTGAAGTCAAGGTCAATAAAAATAATAGAAAACCTTGAAATCAATGTGGTACACTAGTAGTACAGTTGTAAGCCACAAAACTGTAACACAAGCTTGTAGAGGTGTTAGTTATACAAATCACATAAATCAAAACTCATGGCTCACACATAGGCTTAGGTCACACAAAAATTCTAAAGTAATAAGGCAAATTATGCAAGTACATGCTGGCCATCCTCTCCCTGCATATACTTAACATAGCAGGTTGCCTTGCAAGTTATGTTAGGACCATCCAGGTCCTACACAGACTAGGTCATGCATATTCTATACTTAGTTATAACAGGTGTACAGTGATTTTTGAATAGACCAATATTCATGGCCTAGCCTGGCTGTACCTATGATGACATATACTACTATAGGCTAGCTTGCTATTTCGGCCTGTAGGAGTGGGCTGGCCACAAGGGTCATGACCTGTACTGCTGTCAGCCAGTCTGGCTCTGCATTGTGTAATGGGGGGGCTGGCCACTTCCACAGTGACCCATACCACTATGAGCCAGCCTGCTATTTCGGCCTGTAGGAGTGGGCCGGCCACATTGGTCATGACCTGTACTGCTGTTGGCCAGTCTAATTCTGCACTGTGTACATAGGCCAGCCTCCTGCTGCAGCCTGTAAGAGTGGGCCAGCTATACAGGGTTATGACCTGTACTGCTATCGGCCAGTCTGATCTTGCACTGTGTAAAGGGGACTGGCCACTCCCGCGGTGACCCATACCACTATAGGCCAGCCTGCTGTTGCATCCTGTAGGAGTGGGCTGGCCACATAGATTGTGACCTATATTCAGACATGTATGGTCCATGTCATCTTGAATATGTTTTCAAGTCTCAAGTATGGATATACAAAGCATGAAATCAACTCTAAGCCTTTATGATAAAAGATGTATGGAACAATGTACATAATTTCTCAGGCATTGTATTTCTTTGATGCCACTTTGTGTCTCCTAGAATGGCGAGGGGGATCAGGAAGGGAAGATTTCACTTTTTTCTTGGATGGCTCCTCCACATCTGCAGCAGGCCTCTTACCCTTCCCTTTAGCATTAGATTTCCTCACCCTCTTCTCTGCCTTGCTTGCTTCCTCAGCCAATATTGCCTCTTCTTCCACCCTCTTCTCCTCCATTGCCTTCTTCTCATCTGTATGTGGACCAAAACCAACTAAACGTGCATGTGACGTCAGCCGGCAAAGTCCGATGTACTGCACAGTGCGCACAGAAATTTGGACTTGATGAAAAAACACCAACCAAATGTCACATGACCTTTTTGCAAACAAGAACAAATCAACAAACATACTTCAACCGTTAATATTTCTCCCACAGTTCATTTTCCACCTTTTGTTTAGGTAGGCGTCAGTTTAACATTGAAGATCATACTGACTTGCACTATAGTTTTGGTGGTCTACACCATCTTTCCTTAACAAGTTTAATCCGGTAAGCGTCATTTTAATATTCAATATCATACTAACTAATGCTATAGTTGATTGATCATTAATCTACATTTTTACCTTCCTTTATGTACTGTAGGGTGCAAGGCTAGGATGGAGAGGGCTCCTCCATCCCAGTCTTGCATCATTTACTTTAGTTTTTTTTACCTTAGCTTTTTGGTTTGGACTGTATTTAATGTAGAGCTCAGCGCAAATGTATTACCCTTTATGGGCATGTTCTGGTCATGTGATGCTTAAATCTTTGCCCAACTTTTGAGTCACATGATCATGAGAGTGATGGAAAAGGCAACAGGCTGGTTTCTTAACATATTCCCTTTCACATATCATCTGCTTCCTTCTATTTTACACTCGCCTCTCTTCCCTTATACTTACCCAGGAGCGGGTTTCTTAACATATTCCCTGGCCAGGGATAACTATGATCCCAGCATCTTGCATGAATGGTGAGTTTGCAATTGGGTCAGGGATAACTGTGATCCCAATGTCTTGCATGAATGGCAAGTTTTGATAATCAAGTGCCTGCACAGATTTATGTTAACCATAGACCTAGTGTTGCGAGGACATGCCCATTAACTGCAATTGGGTCAGGGATAACTGTAATCCCAGTGTCTTGCATGAATGGCGAGTTTACTTCATTAACATATTCCCTTTCTACATATCATCTGCTCCTTCCATTTTACACTCACCCCTCTTCCCTTCTACTTACCCAGGATTGAGTTCATTATATTGGGTGGTTGTGCGCTCAGTTCATAACCCATCTATCATATGAATGTATACGAGATCTGCTGGCCTGGAGATTTTCTATTTGACACTTGCCTCTCTTCCTTTCTACTTACTTGCTCCTCTTCCCTCCTGACTTATCATGCCCCCAGGAGTAGCAATGTTGGAAATGTGTGGGCGTCCTGACGTCGATATGAGAAAGGTCCAAATGACAGCAGAGTACTGTAAACTTCATTAGAATTGCCGAGAGTTTGGGTGTCAGTTACCAAAGATTCGTTAATTAGCCTCATCATGTTTATTTATAGACTCATTACATCACAACTACATGTGAAGTGCATGAGAACTTTGGTTCTTTTTCTTTTTTACATCTGCCATGGAAGAGAACCTGAAGAGCCAGGCATCTGAAGTAAGGGAAGCTCTGAGTAGCAGGATCAGTAAGATACTTGGGAATTCATCTGAAATGGGGGTCCTGAAAGGTGGGCAAGTGGTAACTAAGCTGTTGCATAAAGCTAGGTATCTATGGTGGATCATCAATTTTTGCTGAATTCTAATTGATTAATCTTCTAGAATGAGAATATCAGTGCACCTCCAGATTTGCTTGGCAATGCCAGATGACACAACATTTACCAATACATCAATTTCAGAATATGAAATTGATTGGGCCACACTAACTATTGCCCATACAATGGTCAATCCCAGTGAGTGTCCCAAAATATTTTTAACTGTCATGAATTCTAAAGCAGAAGTACAGTCAATGTTGATTGGGATGTGGATTGATATGCTGACAGGGTCAAGTTGTCACCACCGAATGGGGATGGGTCAGCAACCTCCGAACTGGAAAGGCTCAAGAAGTACTTCTCTGAGGCAGTGCTTGGCAAAATTTCGACTCTGGCCACCATTGTAGACAGGCATGGCAGAATCTTGATGGTTTACCTCCCCAATATTTTGTCACCTTCTTGTCTAGTACATTTCTGGATGGGATTTTGCCTCAGGGGCTGATTGATTAATTAGGATTACATTAACAATGCCACCTCAGGCTTACGAAATTCTCTTCTTGATACCCTGCCGCCCATTTCAGATCAAAAAAAAAGTTGGTGAGATGATGGCTTTGTGGTGCCAGAGGGAGGGGGTGAATTTGGGGCTGGTAGGATTACTGTGTTGCCTGCATATTTCATGCAAAGACAAGAGGTATTGTATTTTCAGTGCTGAATTTTCCCAGTTCTCAGTGGTGGTGGACTGCCCCAATAATGCCAATGTTCTTGTTGTTTTGTCCCCTTTGACAGACTCTCAATTTCATGAGCTCGCAAATCACACCAAGGAATAGAAACAGGGTCAGAGTCCAGCCATCTTCATCTGGAACTTGCCCATCAAAAATAAAAAGAGGGGCTTATAAATATGCATATATCCCTTCAAAAACGCGGAGGGGAAAAGATTTGTGGAAAGAAGCTAATGCATCATTTGTCTATGAGGACTCTGATAGTGAGATAGAAGTGGCTTCACCATCAAAACAAAAGAGGCATCACCATATTGAAGATCATACACTGGTGGAATACGACCAAGAGGTTCATGGTGATTTTTGGAAGGGAGGCTTGCATGGTATGAAAAGAAAAACAAAAGTGAGTTCATTGAATTTTGAAGTCTCGAGTTTTTTAAAAAAATCATGTACAGACCCAAAATGATTTCCTTCGAGATTACTTGCCTTGGCGCTCCGAATATCTTTCAGTGTTATTGGAGTTAGAGCAGCTGGTCAACAATTGGAAATGCAAAGATTGTGGAGAAGGAGAGGGGTTGATCCGGTGTTTGTCTTGCTCAGGAACACATGCTTGGTGTCCTTCTTGTGTTGTTAAAGCTCATCAACACAACCCCTTCCACAACCTTCAACTCTGGAATGGCAGGTTCTACGAGACTACTACCTTGCAGGCTCAAGGGTATATAATGTATCTTGGCCATGGGGGGGGGAACCATGCTCCAATATCTCACATCAGCCAGACCCATCTCCCTGGGAAGATCTTGGGGCCATGGAAGATGTGTTTGCACAGGAGGAGGGGGATACAATTAATGACACGCAGTCAGGAGTATCTAACCTGGTCATTGTGCACTCTACTGGTGTTTACTCACACAGTTATCATGGTGCCAGTGTCCTGGAGCTGAGAAGGCCTGGCATCTCCATCTCATGAAAGCAAGATTATTTCCTACCAGTATCACTCGCCCTCAATCTGCTTTCACATTTGATGTCCTGGATAACTTCCTCATAGACGTTTTGGAGTGCAAGACTTCAGCCATGAGTTTCTATCAAAAGCTCCGTCAGTTCATGAACAATGCATTCCCTGATAAAATACCAGTGAGTAATTTTATATGATTGTGTGCCTTGCTGTCATGAATGTTACCAACTGCATCTAAATTTCGATTATCGAACCCTAAGTCACCTTATCCGATAAGATTAGATTAGATAGATCCCTGATAAGATAAGATGGATAACCAATTAACGATCACTATCTTTACATCATATCTATACTATATCAACGTCATCCATCTTATTCGTAACCCTAGACAACCGAACTCATCACATCCTTAGAAGTCCTACGATTAGGCAAACGGGTTACATCATAAGCATCTCCATGCCTCTATGATCAAACCATAACTGAGAGTACTTTACGAGCTATCTCTCAAAGGGGCATCACCTCTTCACATCGCAAACCTTCACATCTTCACACATGACATGTTAAGAGTTACCTCTGTCATTCACCGAACCCCTTACATTAGAACCTGTTGCACAGTCACAGTTAAACCCTGAACCCCTATCACAGAAGTACCGCTCATAGAGAAGCATACTCATTACCGAAAACCCTGGAGAACCCTTAGATCCGATCGTACCCGATACATCTCCAGATCCAGATCCTATCTAGATCCTTCGATCTAGATCATCAGATCCTATCTCTAATCGAGATCCTTAATTACCGCTCGAGACTTCTTGTCACAGAACTCTCTCACACCCTTCTTAATCTCCGTATACCCTGAATAGAAGCAGTCCCTGAGAACCCTGCTTAATTACCGATACCCTTGGCCCTATGAACCCTTATCCTTTCCCCTTTCTCCTTTCTTGTAGTTGATTGGTTGATAAGACGCCCTATACCCTAGGTGCAATGTTATGACCGTATATAGTTATATCACATACCTTTCATACTCAGATAGCTCCGCCCCAATAGTAGTATATAGACTAGGTCGTAGTCAGTAGTACTCCTTAGACTTAACCTCCTCGTTTCTACGTTATCGTAGGGCCTAGACGTTCCCTCTCAAATCCATCTTGCTTTATCCTCTTTGACTGAGTCCTGTGGTGTGATCTAGACTCCAGACACCTACTAGTTAGGTTAAGGGACGCTGGTCATAACACTTGCTGATAGGACAAAAAGGACCATTACCATGAACTTATGCGAGTGTCACATATATGGTGGGATTTGGTTAATAGAAAAAGGTTTGGGTTTGGACATGACACCAAACAACCCCCTGGTCCAGGGGATTTAGCCCTTTATTGCCCAGCATGTCTACAACCTGGAATCAACTTGCCAACGTCTTGGAGATATGACTATGAAGAGTAAGTTGACTCGTAACTATTGCAGTAGTATGTCACTCATTATTGGTCTGTGGTAGGTGGTTAGTTATGCAAAGATATGTGGTCGATGGAACTTTCACAGCACAACATATGAAAATGAAAATTCCAGAAGACGATGTTTCTCTAGCAGATGGAAAGGGATACATGGTAACAGAGGGACCTTATCAAGCTCACATCCATGATTCTGTAGAAGAGAGAGAGGCGAGTGACGATTTTGGATGACCGGTTCCTCCTGACTTATAATATTTTTGAAGAAATCCACTTGCAGCAATCAGCTGGCAGTGAATGAAGCAGACATCCAAAGAAGCAACCTAAGAGCTACAGGGGTTGGGGCAACAGCATGTGCTAGGCATAGATGCTTTGTTCCTCATGCAGTGGTAGACTGTTAGGTACCGTGCTGGCTCAAGAGGCAGAGGGGTTGGGGCTTGGCTTCAGCTCTTGCGCTATGCCTGTAGCCGAGTATGTGCCCCAAATTTGGAGCGGGTCCGACATTGTCTGACAAGAGGACGAATGGACCGCTTTGGACCGCTTTGAGGGTCGGGAAGTAAGAGCCACTAGCAGTGGGCCAACTAGGAGTGGAGTGGAGAAGATGGGGGTTGATGCGGAGGGTGGATAGGGGCAGTGGGAATGTTTGGCAGAGGCAGAGAAGGCGGGGAATGATGCAGAGGGACAAGGGAGAATATTGGATAGGGGTGGAGTATATGGAAAAGACTTAGAGCACGGCTCTAAGTCGGAGCGGGGGATTGGAGGGTCGGAGGTGATGACAAGTTGAGACTTGTGTCCAGAGGGGGCAAGGTCCTACTGATCCTTGTTAGTGGCAATTTAAACCCTATAAATTGATGGGCAATTCAGCATTCTTGATGACGCTGGTTGAAGTACATACTTTTCTGGATAGTTGGCTGAGTATGTAAAGATTCAGGGAAAGACCCTCCATAACACACTGTCGGCACATTTCAAAATGATGCCGTGGTGGGTTCCTCATCTCAATGTTAGTATGATCCTTCCCTGACTCATGGGGGTACTGAGAATATGTGGGAAAGTTGGACTCGGAAGCATAGTATAACCCATGTGCCATGGACATCAGCCTGAGGAGCTTGCAAGGGGCAATGGGTTTCAGACTTGGACGGTCCCTCACATGCCAGACTGCTGGGATTCTCTGAGAATGATAATACTAAATTAGCAGAAGTTTGAAACAGCCTCAAAAGGTTGCCCACCAATGACACACTCGCCACAGGGTTTGGGAGTAGATTCAAAAGAGCTGCCTCTTTTGTGCAATCTTGTCTCTTCTGACTTGCAAGGGTTCTGGATCTCTTATGGAAATAACAAGCTGCGCGATGTCTACCAAGTCCTCAATTGTCTGTCTTCCTTTCCCAAGAGCAACCTGGAGCCTCACAAGACACCATTACTAGAAAAAAAATAAGAAAAAGCCAGCCCAAATAGTTTTGGAAAAGCGCATGGTAGCACTCTAGCCTGAGCAACATAGGACAACCATGACAAGTGATTAGTTAGCGCTCAGGTAGTACTACCATGGTAGCAGAGCATAAAGTTAGAACTAGTACGTGACCATGACTACTATATTGTAGCAGCGCAAGTGCCAATCCCTGACTCTGCAAGAAGACAGACAAGATATGATTTGCAGATATTTGTAAGACAACAATGTAGGTCATTTATACAGTTTCAAGCCAAGACAAAGAAGTCACCAAGAAAAACAATCACAGGAACCTACTTGACCATAGTATACTTGAGCTCATCCTCATCAAGCGCATCGGTAAAAGAACCTTTTTAGTGGGCGACTGCCCAGTCACCTCGTCCATGGCCTTTCTTTTTCCCTTCCTATCCTTGAGTGAGTCCACAAAAATGGGCTGAGTGTACTTAGTGCAAGGGAGAAGTTGCATGTGCTGCAGCATGATCTGGTACCCTCTTTGAGTTTGGTCTTGTAGTCGCCAACATGGATGTGAACACCATGCTCATCTTGGATGTCAGGGCTCTGAACCTTTGTGCCACGTAGATCATACATGTTGCCGAGTCTTAGGGTTAAAACCTTAGGACAAAATCTCCGGCTCTACCTTAGGGTAGTCTAACTCTGTCCTGCTTCTACTCCAGACTTGTCCATAGTAGCCTTTCTCTATTCGTTCCTAGCCTTCCAGAGTTCTGCCGAACTCCCCCTATGTCTGACCTCTGGACTTCCTGGACTTCTGTCGGACTTCCCTCTGCCCCTCGGAAATTAAGGGCACGTACTCAGGTAAGGGACGCAGTGCATGAGCTGAAGCCAAAGCCCTTTGAGTTGTCTTTCCCTTGAGCACGACCTTAACACGTGTTCAACAAGGCAGAATATCGACCTCTTGAATCTTTGAGGTCACAAATGCACCCTGCTAGCATTTATATGGTCAGGATGTCATGGCTCGAAACATAAAACATACCATTAGACTTCTTGCCTCCAGTTTTGCCAAGGGCCTGACTGTATTTTTTGGCATTTGCCCTCGCCTTGCCTACAATCACGAGAGCGGGTTATAACCATGCCAAAGCAGAAATAATGACAGACTCACTTGGACTCATCAGACCTGCGCATTCTGTTTTGAGATTTTACATCAGCTGGATGGGGTGTAGTAACTGAATTTGACTCACTAAAAGCCTCAGCGTGAGACATTCAGGGAGTTGTTGCCATTTGCAGATCCGGTACATCTTTGAATACAGCACCAGCTGTGATGACATCACTGTACTTATTGTCTTCCTTGTAGGTGTGCCAAAATGGCACATTTGAAGGGATTGTGCCAGCATCCAATGCTATATTAGTGAATCAATAAATTTACATGCAGGTGAAGGACATAGTAAACAGCAGCACTTCGGAAAACACAAAGGATGAGATTTAAGCAAAGACTTCAACCATGTGCAAAAACGCAAGATTAAATTGTGGATAATAGAGTGGAAAACAAAGTGGACAAAGAGGAGAGTGAAGTCAGAGAGGTATTGCATTCCAGAGCCTTGTGTGCCATGAGGCAACAAGGCCTCAAGTGGCTTGCTGATTTCTTTCGCTGCCCAGTCAAATTTCACACCCTATCTCTCTGCATCATTTTCTGATATTGTTGCTCCACGTCTGGAGTTATTGGATCAAGAAAACACTCAAGCCCCTTCCACACTCATGGAATTGTTATATATCTAGACCAGTCGGCCAGAGTATTGGTGCACCTTGTACAACACAACCCTCATGTACTGCTGAAGATTCTCGACTGTCTTGTCATGGCCAACATCAAGCCAGCAGTGATCAACAGAGTATTCGACATTGTAGAGCACCTGCTGCTGTATTCTGCAGATGACAGTCAATTCCTGGATTTACTCATTCAGCCACATATATCGCAGTTGCTCAAGAACCTCACAACTTTGGTTGAACGCATGAAGGCTGATGCAGTGCTTTCAAGTCCAATCACTCAGTGCCAAATCAGCATACTTTTGGAGGTCGCTTGTTACACTGGAGATTCTACGCAGGCCTTGAGTCTACTCAGCCTTCTCTTCCCTTTGCTATGCTAGTCTAGCAGAATCATATCTGAGAAAGTCAAAGTCAAGCTTCTCAGCACCTTTGGTCTTATATTCCCTCTACTCACTGAGCTGTTAAATTCCTCCTCCATTGAATTCTCCAAAGTGTATGAGCTTCTTTCACAGCTCTTTATGTTGCTTCGCTTCACCACTTCTCAACTCGCCCTCGCTTCAGCTTGCGAGCCTGCTCAAATCACTCAACACCTGCTTGTCGAAGCGAATCGATGAACCTAACTTCAACTGTTGGTCAACTGCATTCACGCTGCTCAATGAGCAGAAGTATGCTGCGCTATCATGTCGTGAATGGCTTCCTGTCCTTTCAAATGCACTTTATTTTGTGCAGGACACCGACAAGCTGGCCATCCACAATAACACCACTTTCACATCAGACACTTCATTGACCTTACATGCAACCCATCAAATTCAGAATTTGAAGCGCTTCTCATGTGAACTGCCCTTCTGGCATTGAAAAATGCCTTGAAATCCAAGCATGAGCTTGTCTGTGCGGAGTTGCTTGGTGTCATCGCATATGCTGTGTCAAAATGCAACAGAATTTCTTTCCTACAGGAGATGTGTCCGGCTCTGGCAAGTATACTATGAGAGTGTGAAGCTGTGCAGGTCAAAGAGAAAGATCTGCTCTTCCTGATCTAAATTTGTTTCACCCCATCTCAAGGACCCCAATAGCCAGTGCACTGTTTTTGTGTTACTAAGAGCTATTGTAGCACAACGACTGATTGTACCTGAGCTCTATGATGTTATGGCTGACGTCTCTGCTATCTTGATCATGTCACAAGCAGCACAAATTCGTGAATCTGCTCAGTCCCTTCTTCTTCAGTTTCTTCTCCACTATCCTCAAGGCTCTGGAAGACTGTAGACCACACTCAGTTTCTTTGCCTGAAATCTTTTGTATGAACATGCGTCAGGATGTTCAAGTGTCCTTAAGCTCTTAGGTGCACTTGTGAACAAGTTTGACTCTACATTTCTCACAAAGCATGGAGAGATGATTTTTGTTGCATCTTGTTGAGGTGTTGCACTGTAATGGTGTGTTTTTACACTTGAACTAAATTGAGAGGATGACTGAAGTCATAGAGATGGCAGCCAAGTAAGCAGACATTGACATCTTCACTGTCCACATCACATCAGGTGCATTCATGTGTGTTGCACGTCGAATCGATCTGACGCTTCCCCAGCACCTTGTATGTCATAGATCTTGTCCATTTCTGCCAGGTATGTGAGTTACTTCTGTGACAATCCCTTATTGATGGACTTTAGATGGCTGCGGGTGTACATTGACTCTTCACCGTGTCTGAGGAGTTTTGGTGACATTTTTGTTTCCGGATATCCCCCATGGACAATACCAGATGCTTTGGTAAGATCCTGACCTCTAATTATCTGTTCAATATTCTCAATTACCTACTGTAGCAGATCAGATGGATGTAGGCAAGGTAAAATCGCTGGCATTTCTTATAAATTAGGCTCTAATAGCAGTGTGTAGTCTCTGCAAATGATTGCCTTCAATGCTCATTTACAGAACCTCAGTCATTACCAACCTTTGCCAATTGTCTGCTCCTCAAGCATTCCTCATCATGACATGACAATTGGATAAAGGGAGTCTGGCTTGCTGGTTTTCTACGTGCACCCCTCTTCCTTTTAACATAGCTGAACCATCTTTCAGATACCCTGGTTTGCATGTATCATGGCACTCTAGCTGAATGTCCTGATCTTTGTTGGACTATAATGTGAGCCCAGATGCTTCAGAACTGACTGATGATGATGTCACAATGAGGTGGCAATGCGCTCGAAAGGGACAGAGCATATTTTGATTATCTGGACACATTCCAGGAATAGTTCATGATTGTTGTTCTCACAGTCTCAGTGCTTTGGCTCATGGCACATTTAGGCTCAACCTCGGAACCATGCAATCTTGCCTCTTTCATGAGCAATCATTTCAACACCCCTTCCTCCTTTGATGGCTCAAGGCGGACATGGAAGGCCTTCTCCCACCGAAGGAATATATCCTATATACACTGCCCAGCATGGGTCAACACGACTTGTATGACAAATATCTTGGATGGGTCGTTATGGAGCTTCCTCCTTGGAATCTCCAGATACACAACAGTAGAGAAGGTCAAGAAGATTGACATAGATGCACTGATGAATGATGCTTAGGAAGTAAAATGAAACAAAATGACATTGATGGTGACGAGTATTTCAAGATCTTCTAGGATGGTAGAGTGGCCAAGGTCGAGGGATGCAAAGGAACATGTCACTGAGCTGGCAAAATAGCACCAGCAACTTGCAAGCCGTCAGTGATATTGAGATTTTGCTGCCTTCTGTTTAACTGACCATGGAAATTAGGAACACTATTATGCAGCTATGCAGCAAACAGAAAGATGGTCCTCGATCGTCTGCTAGAAGAACTATTCTGCAGGAAACACAAAGTCTTGCTGTTCAGTCAATCGACAACCATGTTGGACGTCCTCAAGGTCTGTCCATCTTTTTTGTTTGCTTCATCATACTCAAACTCTGGTCCATATTGCATGAAGGTTCCATTTCAGGTAAGTAAGTAACAAAGAGAAAGAGTGAGTAGTAAGCATTGTGCTAAGAATCAGATCTAGAATAACTAATCCAGACTCCATGGAAGTTGGTGGGTTCAACAACCCTATCCATACATTAGTACTATGGTCAGGAACAAGTCAAATGTGGACTGAAACTGGATGGAAGAGATGGCAAGCTGTTTCAGCCTCGTGTTTTCAAGATGTGACACATACTTTGTTCACGGGTGTGTGGCATTCGCATACCTGTGGGATTGATCCCAGGACTGATCACTGCCATGTCTTTTAGCTGCTGCATCACAAATTTACAATGCCAGTTCTCTCATTGTCTATACAAACTCGGAAAAATCTTATGCATCATCTCAGAGGTCTGACAACCATTCCAATCATTCTCAGAAGTCCAACAACAATTCCCATCGTTCATCTCAGAGGAATGATAGCCATTCCATTTGCTTGAAACAATTGCATAATTCCACAGGCTCCCTTCAGAAGAGCCAAGGATGAAGCCCACAAGCATGCCAGTATCACACATGGCAGACATTAAAACATGTGATGCCTCTGCAGTGTAGATCTTCCATGAGTTGTTGGAGATGTATCAGGTAAGCTCTTAGTATGCGACTTTGAAAGCTTTATCTCATTCTATCAGAATTGTGGTGTTGTGCTCTTCATACCTCACCTTTGGGACATGCCTGTGTAACATACCAGGGTCACATTATCATGTACGTTCTGGGTTCTTCATGGACCAGCTCGTATTTATTTTTTACAGGTTTGGAGGAACAGATGGTCAATACCATTACAATGATACATGGCCGTATGACACTAATACAAGAACCTGGATGGAGCTGCAATGTATTGAATTTATTCCCTCGCCATGAGAAGGCTATGCAGCTGCTGTCATTGACGATGTCATTTACATATTTGGTGGCCAGGGTGTAGATGGCAAGGACCTTGGCGATTTGACAGCATTCAAAATGTCAGGTATGTGATTTGATGTATGAGTGGCATCAGTGGTTCTGAGTTTGTCACATACAGACCAGAGGTGGTACATGTTCCAAAACATGGGTCCAGCACCTAGTGGCTGTTCAGGACATGCTATGGCATCCATGGGAACCAGAGTTTTTGCCCTTGGCAGAGAGTCTTTCACACAAACCAAGGGCGATGACCATGGAATTATTCATGTTCTTGACACCAGTACATGGTCGTTCTTCTGCACCAATGTGTTGACATATTACTCAGAGCATATCAAATACCCTGATTCAAACAAAGGACCATTGACCAACAAGTCTGATCGAAAGTCATCTGCAACACCAACTCCCCCAGGGAGCGCTCTGCCTAATGGTTCCTGTGCCATGTCTCCAACAGGTGCTTCTCAGGACGCAGATGAACATTTGACTGTGCTACCACTACACCATCTGCTTTAACTTCTGGAGCAGAACTGGCTCCACTTGGTACTGTTTCGATACAGCATAATAGGCTTTCCATTGCTGGGCTTGAACACCATCCCTGAGGTCACAGTAGGCAAGCACTGTTTGAAATCACAGGTCATGCTAATATTAATGCCCAAAATAGGGCATCTTCCAAGCGACATATATTATATCATTATTTGGTGTTCTCCTAAATAGGTACTTGCTTACAGGCCTGACCAGCATATAAGATGCAAGCTGGTTAGCTCTCAGACCCTTCATCTCATATCTTCTCCTCTGAGTCGTCCCTCCAACCATTTTCTCCCTTCTCATCTTTCCCTGCCTCCATGTCCAATGCTGAGGGCAGTGCATTACCCATCAATGAACAGGCTGAGGGCAGCCACAATCAAGTGGAAATATCTGGACAGGCTTGACAGAGATGGAGAATCACACAGCTGGAGGAGAAGCTAGTGGCTCTCAAATCTAGGTGTGCCCCTAAAGAAAGGTATGATCACTGTTGTAGGTGTTGAGTTTGGTTTCTCATTATAATCTAGGCAGATGAACTATTATGTGGCTCAAGGAAGAGCAATTAGGTGTGTTGTTGCTCGATTTGATAGCCTTGAGGATCTAGTTGCTGAAAATGACCGGAGGTATGACACTGAAGAGGATGTAGAAACTACCATCAAGTAAGTCTTTCCCTGTGTTTGTGAATGCTACTCATGGTTTTGTGTAGTCAAGATTGGTTGCAGGTAGGCTACATCACGTTCACGCATACCATGCGGTGGTTTCACAAGAAGGCTATGGAGCTGGAGTATGAAGAATACGCACAAATTTTAAAGATGGTTGATTTCCACAATGTCAATGGTTGCCTTGGTTTTGCTGAACTGTTTTTTCAGCTTCAGCAAGGGGCTGACACTGCTTGAGGGGATGATACCTCCAAACTGAAGGCTCTTGTTTCTGAGTGGGTCAACCATGAATTCAAGCCCAATCCCCTGGTTGATTCAGATGACAAGCATTCCTGTGGGTTCATCAATGATGCGTGCAGTAGATTACTTTGTCCTTCAGAACTTGATTGGAATAATCCAGCGTAAGTGGTGCACTCAGAATCCTGAGAAGAATTACTCACATGTCACCAGTGTAAAGGCAGGCATTTGAGATCACACAGATGGCTACATTATGACCGACCTCTCCTTTCCAAAATTTATATATGAAAAGTACATGGCGAAACCCAATGATCTAGAGGAGGGGCTCTTCAAGGGTAAAATTCTTCTTCAGGTGTGTGACCCAGCAGTAGCCTAGAGTTGATCTCACCAGTTTTCCAGACCTACAAAGCGGTATTCACATCATCCTCCTCAGCTAAAGATGTTGAAGGTGATGGTGATGGGGCAGATATCATTCAAAACAACAGGTGTGCTAAGAAATCCTTCAATGCACTCAAGGTCAAGAAGCATGTAGCAAATATTATCAATATGGAGAAAGTCACCCCTCGGTCAATCACATACATAATTTGCCAAGTAAGTCATAGAATTGGTGAAATTGATGGTATCTGATGATCTAACTGACAGGTCTGATTTGTGCTCTCTTCAGTCACCTCCTGGCAGTCTGTCGATGGGGACTTTGACTATGTCCAATTATGGCAGACCATTGTGGACTTCTTCGAAAGGCTTCCTGGTCAAGAAGATCAGCACAGGGTAGACAGGCTCCTGGAGTGGTGGACTAGGTGCGTTATTGACTGTCCCAGCAAGCCTTAATTGAACTGGCCACTTAGGAAAGTTTTTGGAAGGAGTTGCTGTGACGACCTCAGCCAAACAGCAAAGGAAAACATGTCTGTAAATGTGCTTGCAAGGCAAAGGGCAGCACATGACGATGCTGCTTTCGACTCTCCATCATAGGACTTGGATGTACCTTACAGTTGTTCTTTATAGCAAGCAACCTGTAGCACACTTACCATTCATAATCTTTACTCTGATGTCATATGATGTTTTGAAATTGTTATGGGAAAGCCCGGCTTTCCAACAGTGCACTTGATAGGGTTGATCCCATGTCCACTTCATGGAGCACCGAGACAATGGAAGACTGAATGAAGGCTGTTGATCCAGAATGGCTGACTGAAGGATCAAAGCAGATACTAGAGTCATATATCACAAGTGAAGATCAAGTTAGAGTACATGGTCTAACTACTGTGGTATATATAGGTATCGTCCTGTGAGTTCAGGGGAGGTCAACCAGTCATGGAGTCACTGGTCCAACGGTAAGGGTCTAGGGTATAGTACCAGCACAGCGGTAGGTGTCCAGGTCAGAAAATGCTATCTGTCATGATAAGTGATAAGGCGATAAGTGATAGTAGCTACCGGTGTATTGGTAGAGGCGATAAGGAAGAAGTGTGCGGCTTCTATTGATCCCAGTCTAGGTTGGTTCCAGAGCTGTCCTGCTCCAACAGCTGTCATGCTGTGCCCTGCAGTTTAGTCACATGCTGGTGATGTCATCTGTCACATGTTGTGACACGGTTGTGATGGTGACATTTGGTGGAGACGATAGGGGTCTGAGGGTCCCTGTAACAGAAATCTGCTTCATGTGATGAGGATACATATGAAATGGAACTCCCGAGTAGATAGTTTCACGGTAATATTTCTTGAGACAGTGGTGTGAGTAGGCTGTCACCAATATATGACAGCACCAAACAGTAAGTTCCTTGTTAGATGGACGAGTTGTATCACTGAGATCTCAAAGGCACATATACAAAATCCCACTTTGGGGTGCACAAATACAGAATTGTGATGATGTGCCACACAACACACATTATCTGCTGGTCATGAGATGCTCACAGTTCAAGGTACAAGTTATATATCCCTCTCCTTGTGTTCGATACCCTGAGTCCATTGAGTAGACAATGACCTTTGTCATATCCATATTTTCTAGTTTCATGATAATAGGCCGTCACAAATAGATGCCAGTGCCAAACGGTAAGGTCATCATTGGATGGACAAGTTGTATCACTGAGATCTCAAAGGCACACATCCAGAATCCCCCTGTGGGGCACAAATAATACTAAATCATAGCATCTGTGACAAAACACATATTATGTCTATTGAACAGTGAGTGAGATAGCAAGGTAAGCCATTGCCCACCATTGTCAAAACTGGAGCTAAGTTACTATACTATAAAGATACAGCACTGGAGCCAAGCCACAACTTCTTGAGATGGAGGTGCAAAATAACCACACCTGCCAGTCATTAGATACTCACAGAAGGTTGGGTGAAGATTTGAAGCAGGATATAATTTGGCTGTCACTCGCTCGTGAACATGCTCCTGTTGCTGTGCAAAGGTAATGCTTCTTCACACGGATTCCAAAGTGCAATATATAATACGATCATTGCATACTCACCGAAGGTTTGGTGGCAACTGGAAGTAGGATATAGGTTGACTGTTGTTTGCTTGGTGAAAACGTGAATGCTTCTTCGCATGGAATCCCAACTGCAGTTTACAAGATGACAATTAGATATTTGAAGGAGATGGCATTGAAATTTCAAGTAGGACATGTGTTGATTGTCACTTGCTTTGGTGAGCACATTGTTGTTCTCTGGAAGGTGCTGGTGCTCAGGGTTACCCTAGGCATTAACCAGTAATTGACGAACATCCCTGCATTTCAAACAACTGGTATCAATATATAAGCAGAGTAAACAATTTTATCGCTTGCTCCATGAACACATCCTGGCTACTATGCAAAGGTAATGTTTCTTTGCATGGATGCCCAACTACAATACACAAAATGATTGTTAGATAACTGATGAAGATGGCATCAAATTTTCAAGTAGGACAGAAGTCATATCATCACTACTTGCTGATCACTAGTTCATTCTCTAGAAAGATACCAGGTTTCATGCTTAACTTCAACATTTTGGACCTTACTTCCTACATGGCAGTTGTGATTCATCCAGCTTGACCATCTGTGTTTGCTCCACCTTTCCTTGAAACTTGAGTTTGAGGGATGTGGGGGTCTTTTCCTGATCACAGACTTGTGTGGGGAAATCAGGAACTCTCTATGCCTCTATAGGGTCAAACATGGCATTGTGTTAAGGTCTTGCTCAAGGGAGAGGTCACTCAAAGGGCTTCGGCTTCAGCTCATGCGCTACGCCCCTTACCCGAGTACATGCCCTTAATTTCCGGGGGACAGAGGGGAAGTCCGACGGAAGTCCGGGGAATTCCGGAGGACAGAAGTTGGTGGAGTTCGGCGGAACTCCAGAAGACTTATGTGGGGATGGAGTAAGGCTACTACAGAAGTCCGGAGTAGAAACAGAACAGGGGTTAGACTACCCTAAGGTAGAGCCGGAGAAGTAGTCCTAAGGTTTAACCCCTAAGACTCGGAGGTGGACAAGAGGTGAGACTCAAGTCCGGAGATTGCAGGAATGAGCAGAACTAAGATGATATTCCAACTGAGGAGTTCCAGAGTATTACAGGGGTTTATATACTGTAGGGATCATGTAAGTAAATCAGTCAGCAAGGGTAAGGGCTATGTATGAAGCATGTGGAAAGTCTGTTACTAAGTGTAACAGATCAAAGCAGTGAAGTCAGAAATGAAGTAAGAATGGACGGATCAGTAAGCAAAGTAGAAAGGTGTACAACCGGTAACCGGAGAGCAGTGTTCTAAAAAGGAGATAGGTGTAAGTCCGGAGATGAAAGCGGAGCGCTGGGTGGAACAGGACAGAGAACCGGACTTTCATAGGGTAGAATCCAGAATTCCGGATCCGGAGGTATGGGATATAGTGTTGGAGAAAATAGGGGTAGTGTCAGAGGAGCGGAATAGAGTCGGGCAGAGGTAGCAGGGCTAGTCCTGCTGAAATGCACTTCATGCATTGTTGGAGAAGGAGGGATGGAGCGGATGGGGAAACAGGGGGTCGGACTAGTGATAGGGATGTTCACAGGTGGTATTGGAGGTGCTCGGATCTGGTATATGACACATTGTGACAATTGATAGCAGAGTTATGCAGATGCTTGTTATTATGTACTATATATTGACATATATGTCATTCTAATTTGTCCATCAGTTCACTGATGTAATGGTTCTTGGTAAAGGGAATGAGGCAAAGTCATAGCAGCGAGCAGGTGTTTTATAGGCTGAAACTTCCAGTGTGAACATACCTTGCTACTGAGATGCCCTAGTTGAGTATGGCTGACCCATACCACACTGCCAACACATGGGTTTTCAAATACGATCACATTTGGACTTCAGATGGTTGGTGAAAATGATGCGGTCGTGACGCACCTGCCATGGTTGTGACCTGGCATTGATGCAGTGCATGTCTCAAAAGCTTCCTAGCATCACATCATAACTTGGTCCTCACATCTGTTTACAATTCATTTACTGGGCAAGAGAAGTGACAGGCGTTTAACAATACCATTTGAACATTTGTGATGGAAACAGGCAAACATGATTGTCAAAGTGCTATGGGAATGGACAGGTATAGACTATGGACGCACAAAGCAGAGAAGATAGATCAGGCTATAATGTTAAAATTAAGCATAATGCTCGCTGGTAAGCAACACAAAGGTTTTGCAAGTTCATCTCTTAGGCTTCTGTCTCAGTGGTTATGCTTAACGCTGCAAACAGCTCATTTTGGCGATATTTGCCCAATCCAGGATGAAATATGTGGGGGTTGGCAGGGCTTGCTTTGTCCCCCTTGCTTCTTTGTGTTCCAGCAGATCTGTGCATCTAGATCATGGTTCTGGCTGTGCCCACATCAGGTCAGGATCTTGCAGTTGAAATACCACTAAGTCATTTGCACATTGTGAATGCAATACTGTTGAAGTTTGTCTCCTTTGATCAGTGACTAGCAAGAGGTCAATGTAATACATAGATACAGAAAAAAATGAAATTGGCATTTGTCACATGGCTCAACCAAGTCTGGTTCTCAATCAACATGAAGAAATATCACCTAGTAAGTCAGTTTGCAATTTGCGAGTGTGGCATTGAAGTCCGTCTGTCATGCACAGCAAATTGGAATTGTTGGAGTCCAATGAACAAGGGCAAGAATAAATTCAGAGACTGCACTACTACTATTATACGTCGACATGTATATGCATTAGACATTAGATGAGGTACAAGACATGATCAACCAGAACACCATAAATCACATGACCACAATATAAAACAGAAGGTACTGAAAATGGCATGAGCGACATGTCAATAGAGGATCCAACCTGTAGAGCAAGTGTGACTCACTTTTTGAATAGTCCTATCTCCAAGTCCTTGCTCGCTTGTTGCTTTGACCAATTTGGTTTGCCTGCGCCATATGGGTGGACTCCTGCCAAATATGACCGGTCTTTCGAAGTGTATCTGTGTTGTTGGAATCAATAGCCTGTGTGGCTTTGTTGATGGCCTTTGAGGCACATTTACATTTTACCTTGAGTGCTTTCTCTGGTAGCGCCACCGCAATGTCAGCGGTATCATCTGGTGTGTCCTCAGCTACCATGGGAGCTATAGGAGTTATGGAAGGGTGTGGTGTTGTGTCTCTTTCGTCTGGCATCTCCTCAGCTACCACAGGAGCTGCAGGAATTACAGAAGTGAGTGGTGTTGCATCTCTTTCGTCCAGTGTCTCCTCAGCTACCACAGGAGCTGCAGGAGTTACAGAAGGGAGTGACAAGAATGTGAATTGTGGGGTTGCCATTGATGGTTGGAAAGAAGGCAATGAGTGCAATGCATGGGTAAACAAATGTGGTGCAATGGGGGACAACTGTAGTGCAGGAGGGAACAAGTGTGATGTAGACAGGAACGAGTGCAGTGCAGGTGGCGTCTCCTAGGTGGAAGTGCTTGTCAATCCATTGGGCCTGCTTGGAGATCTGTGGAGTAAGGGGCAAAGAAGAGGTTGCAGGTTTTCTCAAATTGGCATGTCAAATGAGACCTTTGGAATGTCATTGAGGAAGGAACTTGATGAGTCTGCCATATCTTCTGTAAATGAAACTTCTTGGAGGCTGTATCCATTGGACGACTGCAGGCCGACATTTGGAACACTGGTGAAGAAGGAAATGGATGAGTCATCTTGGAGGCTGTATCCATTCAATGACTGCAGGTCATAGCACACAGTGAAGGCAGGGGAGGCAGGATGTGGGAGTACTGTGGGTGCAGGTAAAACCAGAGGCGATGATTGAAAGGATGTTGTAGTCGGAGGTGTCATACTAAGTGCGTCCAGAGAAAAGGATGTTATAGTTGGAGGTGTCATACTAATTTTGTCCAGGCAGGAACCAGAAGCAGGTGACTCGGAATTGGATGACATAGATGCCAAAGTATCATAGTTGAGTGCACATGTCTTCCTGATGTGCGGTGCTATAATTGAGTGTTGCAACGTTGAACATCAAGTCTTTATGGGTATGAGGAAGACACTTGCGAAAAACTGTGCCAATAAAGTCCATGTACGCCTTTAAGTGTGTCTCATTGAATTGCGGTGTCACTTGTTTCCAATTGAGACCAGTTGCATTCACACCTGAATGGTAACTGCAGTGCTTGTGAGGATTCCTGTGCTGCTCACAAATCACAATATATCTACCTCATAGCATTGATATTTCTGTCCAAATGTAGGTCTGGTCCAGCGCCAATTAGACTCCATTCCTAACCTGTCATGTATTTGATCACTTGCATGAAGTGTGAAATCGGACCCATACACTCTGTAAGTGCCTTGCGAAATCAACCATTGAGCAACTTAAAGCAGGAGTATTGCAGAACGGTTCATACTGAGCATACTGAGCATTGGTAGGGGCCTCATCTGTCTTCTTGAGGACTTCTGATGCCTTGGCATCCCATTCTGCCTGAACTACTGCCCTACATAAGGCCTTAGCTCCAAATGACAGTACCTGACACTGCCAGCTCATACAATGTCCCTGAAAATGGATACTATGGGCTGGTGTTTACTACAAGTGAGCTTGCATCAGCACTTCAATTGATCCGTGACCAAGATGGTATGCAATCATGTACTACACACACAGATACTGCCGGCTCACTTACTCTAATCATATCCCATGACACCGCCGGCTCATGCAATGAACCCGAAAATGGATACTATGGGCCAGTATTGGCTATGAGTGAGCTTGCATCAGCACTTCAATTGATTTGTGACCAATATGGTATGCAATCACTTACTACACCTGCAATAATTTGTGCTGACTGATGACACCAAGTAATGATGGAAGCTCACCATGGCTACTCACTTTCTGATGCACCCTTACCATTGCCTGGTTTGCAAGGCTGCCCTGCTTGCATCTTATGTACTCATCGCCAGACCTGTTATGTGTGCCACACACATATTTCTGAATATTACTCACAGCATTGTCATCATGTATCTGTGGCATCCCTCACCATGTCTATGTCAGTTACAACAAACACTGACACTACGGTAAATGATGATTGTGAAAATGACACTGTACATGTTGATTTAGTATGATGTATTTGATATTGACATTGGGATCTTGATCATATCAGGTTTCAACACTGCAGCAATGAAAATTCACTTAGGCAGAGTGTTAAGGTCATGCTCAAGGGAAAGACAACTCAAAGGGCTTCAGCTTCAACTCGTGCACTGTGCCCCTTACCCGAGTACGTGCCCTTAATTTCTGAGAGGCAGAGGGGAAGTCCGATGAAAGTCCAGGTAAGTCTGGTGGTCAGACACAGGGGGAGTTCAGCAGAACTCTGGGAGACTAGGGACGAACAGAGTAAGACTACTTCAGACAAGTCTGGAGTAGAAACAGAACAGAGTTAGACTACCCGAAGGTAGAGCCAGAGATATAGTCTTAAGGATTAACCTTTAAGCAAAGCAGAAAGGTGTACAACTGGTAGCCGGAGAGCAGTATTCTAAAAGGAGACAGGTGTAAGTCCAGAGATGAAAGCGGAGCGCTGGGCGGACAACAGGATGGAAACCCAGACTTTCATAGGGGAGAATCCGGACTTCCAGATCCGGAGGTATGGGATATAGTGTCGGAGAAAATAAGGGTAGTGTTGGAGGAGCAGAATAGAGTCAGGTGGAGGTAGCAGGGCTAGTCATGCTGAGATGCACTTCATGCATTGTCAGAGAAGGAGGGATGGAGCGGACAGGGGAAACAGGGGGTCGGACTAGCGGTAGGGATGTACACAGGTGGTATTGGAGGTGCTTGGACCCAGTATATGACACAGAGTTGATTTGATGGAGTATCTTGTACATACATGTTCACTTATATACAGTGTGTTGAGCTTGAACTTGAGCAATCAAGGACACTGTAGATGTCGTCTTGTCTCACAACATTGTACTCACTGTCTGAATCTTCATAGTAGAAAATATAAAATTGGTGATCACTAGAACAGACAGTGGCCCACTGGAATTAAAACACATCATATTTTAAGCACGTGGGTTTTGGTCTGATCATGAAGCATTGGTGTAGTACAATATTAATGATACAGCAGTATCAATTGATCTGGTGCATGGTGGCTCAAACTCAAATGGAATATTACCTGTCTGAGACTGTGTATACTCATAATGTGTAGTATATCACTGAAAACCAAGACCCTCATCAGAGCTTAGATGTGTTGCAAGAATCGGATTATTTTGGTCTGACCATTATGCAAGTAGCTTTGGTCCAACTGAGTTATGGTCTGACCAGAACCTTCGCACTTCTTTTCAACCAACAACCAACTAAACCTACAACCTCACACCATGCCACATCCTCCTCTACATAAAACAAATGAGGCTAAACTGAAAGTGGCTTGTGAAAAGTCCCAGTGCCACTAAGTGAAGTAAGTTTATTTAATTAATTGTCTCCGGTGCCACGTTCCTGACTGGTAAACCAATTGAAGACACAGAGACCATATACTTAAAAGACAACAACAACTTCATGTTGAAAAGAATAAGCCATCATGGGAGATCCGAGAGTTTGAGAAAGCAGTTGCAAGAGCCTTGAATGGCAGCAATATTGATGAAGATGAGAGTGATGCCGAGCTGGAGACAGACAAATCTAGCAATGATGAGGAGAATGACCATAACACACTGTATGTTTTATAAATAGATGAAATGATGAACATAAAATTAACATTCAACAGATCAAATCTTCCAGGGTGCCTCCTTGCTCTCAAAGGTATCAAGGACAAGATGTTGTCATTGACCAATGAACATGAACCCCAATCATTTGTCGAGGACATATTCCTTCAATACGTCAAAAGCATCAAATACACCGATGACCAGGGTGATAATGGTGACATCACCATCATCACAAATACCATGCTCAAGGTTCAAGATATTCTCAATCACACAATTCGCATGCAAGATCAAATTCTTAGGTGCTGTTTGGACAGCGAACCTTCATTCAAAAATCTTGGTTCAAAACAGCACATGATGATAGCATGTGATATATTTTACGATAAGATATCATCGATTATCAAGACAGTCTGACACATAGAATAGTACTATCTATATAACTTATGAATCTCATATCAATGATCACAACTCTGCACCCACATGGACCTCAAAGTGCAAATACAGAACAACTTGCATCGACAAACAGAGAAGATCCCATATCATACGTCTATCCTCACCGGAAAAGCACGGGTATATTAACTCATCAGCAGTCACCCAACTGAATCAGACACAACTTTGGCATCGACATTCAGATTTTTGAAGAACTGTTAGAAGTTCTTCAGCAACATGGATTTGTCCAGTCCCACAATGGCATCACTATTGAAGAGCAGTTTGGCATTTTTTATATACATGCGTTACAGGACTCTTGTCTTGCCATGTCGGAGAGAGGTTCCAGCGTTCTCCTGACACAGTCACAAGGTAAGTACATCAGGCATTTGAGATGAATAGTAGGCTAATGATTTTCACAGATATTTCAAGCACATGCTCATTTTCTTTTTATTCCCTCCCTTCTACACTTCAAATGTCCAATTTCCAAACGACAACACTCCCATTTCTGCAGCAATTCGTGATGACCCGCGATTCAGATTCTTTGATCAATGTATTGGTGCTGTCGACAGTACTCACATTCGGGTCTTTGCACCGCTCGAACACCATACCATCCTGTGCAACCGAAAGGGATTTTTGTCCCAAAACTGTCTGTTTATCTGCAACTTAGACTTTTATTTCACATACTCACTCACAGGCTGGGATGGCTCATCTGCTGATGCTGCCCTTTGGAATGATGCGCGGTCTCATGATTTGTGCATGCCTGTGGGCAAGTACCTTCTTGCTGATGCAGGCTTTGGTACATGTGACACACTTCTCATACCTTATCGAGGTGTGCGCTATCATCTGAAGGAATGGCACCAAGTAAACCTTGCATAAGTTTATTCATTCTACATTTGTTTTTCTATTAAATCATTTTGTACTAGGCCATGATATTCCAAAGAATTGTTCAATCTGTGACACGCAGCACTGCGCAATATTGTCGAATGGATCTTTGATGTGTTGAAGCGCCAATGGCGCATTTTGACGATAGTGCTGGAATATAGCATGCACATCCAGGCCCAGATACCAGCAGTGCTATGTGCTATTCACAACTTTGTACGAAGGTACAATCCTGATCTATTTGATCTCGCTCTTGACCATGAGTATGATCTCATGGAGGATGATGATGTAGGATATGGGATGCTTTCTGAAGGACCGGCAGATAACCCTGAGAGGAGACGAGCAGATGCTCATCGGGAGGCAATTGCAGCAGCGATGTGGGCTGACTATCTTGAGGAATGCGAACAAAGGGGACTCCCATTGCCTTTGTGGTAAGTATCATACAATTTCTGTACAACATATGCAATCGAGACATTTGAGATGAAACAAGCGCATAAAATTTGAGATGTTCGATATAATAGTACACTACAAGACTGCCATAGCACCACCACAAAGCACTCACTTCTCCTCCAACCACTCAAGCCTTGTTACTTCATCCAACGAGTAGAAAATGATGGCCTGGTTTTCATGTTCAGCCAAGAAGTTAGCAATGGCCAGGCGCTCTTTTCTAGTGAGGTTTGTGCACTTGTTGAGCAAGGAAATGGCACTCCCAACATGCATAGAAGGGTGTGGCTGCACTGGTAGCAGCGGTGGCAGTGGCGGAGCTAATGTGAAACTCTTTTGCATCTCGCATACTACTTCAACAAGGTTCTTCATTGTTTCAGTACCCTCCTGTTGCGCTAAAAATGTGGCAGATGGTGGCTGATTTCACTTCTGGGAGCTTGCAACTGAGCTAGGACCAAGTGCGCTGAATTTACGTTTCCCACAGCTGACGCTCGTCCATGCTGAGTCTGTGGTAGAACCTGCAGTGGAGGGTGCAAGATAGGTAGATGAAACATGTGGCTCAAGGGAATCTGGATCAACTGGGGATGTTGGCTCTGAAGATGCTGTTGCTGGGGGGATGGAAGTAGAGATGGTAGGATTATGAGGCTTTTCACTTGTTGTGGTAGGCCAGAAAACATGTGAACCCTTGGGCTGGTTTGGCATTAACTGCTCCATGATCTCAAAGTGGTCAAAGCCCTTTGTCATAAAGGGCTTTGCATGAGGATGTGACTGAAGATAATGTCATTGAGGAGCATGCAATCTATTGTGGTACTTACCTTGGTAAAATGTGCTCAGACATCATCCTTTCTATCTGTAATACCTGCTCCATGCTCATCACTCCATGTGAAACCTGATGTACACTTTATCTCAATGACACTGTGATATGCTTTCTTGAACTATAAAAATATATGATGACATTGGTGGTGGCGCAAAAGTTCACTAGACGCACCGCTGTCCATTTATTCTTACAAACTGTACCAGTCTTTTCTGCACCTCTCTGCTGTTTGATTGTTTCCTTGAGGTGGGCAGCTGCCTGATTGAAAGTGGGCATCTTGAAGCCTCCATTGCCTGAGGAAGAAAGGTTCTTCAAAAGGAACTCAAGAAAGGCGGTTTCCTCTGCCTTTGACCACACTGCAGGAGCCTTCTAGGATGTTCCAGTTCCAGCGGCTGCTTCAATGGTACCTCGAGAGTGTAGGGAGTGTGAAGATCCACTGCTGGATTTATTAGACATTTCAATGATGAAGGAAGGCACATATCTTGCAATGAAAATTGGATCCAGCTGGATTATTAGTCAGTCATTGACAGGCACCTGGCATCATGTGCTGTTTTGAACCAAGATTTTTGAACCAAGGTTTGTTGTCCAAACAGCACCTTAATTTTTCTGGCCCAATCTCAGATGAGTTTCATACAGCTAACTCAGTATCTCAATTTCTCAGCACCACAGTTGCATATCTTGAAGATATTGATTACTTAATTCACTGGGGGGGAGTTTCGGAACTTTGCATTGCTCACTTGTCAGGGGAGTTAATGTATCAGAAAAACCTCTGTGTTTGAGTAACATTCACACGGTTTTACGATGTACTAGTCCACATACTACATATATACTTGTGTTTGCCTCGTGTTCACTAGCAATACCAGTACTCCATCTACCCACAACATCCCAACCATCATGGGCAGCAAACATCAATGACAATACAACAATGAAATGCGCCATAAACTTTATGTTCTCAATCTAGAGCTTGAAGAGGCTTGTCAACTTGCCTCAGCCACGAAAGAGAAAGAGAAAGCATCTCAGCTGTCATCCGAGTCCCACAAGCACAAGCACAAGCACAAACACACTTCATTCACTCAGACCCACTGGCAGGATATGAGTTGCAGTGGACTATCTGCACAAGTCAAATATTTTGAAGGTTCAGCATCCACAAGCACGGAACATGAGGTTTTACCAACCAATCATCCAAAAAAATCAGTGTACAATCCTCAATCATTCGATGTCAATGTCAATGTCATGGACAGTGCACATGAAGCCTACTTAGAGGATGACAGTATCAAGCCTACTAAAAAGCGAAAATGCACTGCAGGGGTAAGTCACAAGTATGCCAAAGATTTGATTTGTAAACTAATTTTTCACAGGATTATCTGCTTGCATCATGACTTCTTGAATGAGATACATTTATTCTTGAGATGTTAAGATTGGATGGACGTGGAGACTTTGTATCTCAAGAGACTTGCCATGGATGTTATGGCTGCTCTTTTCCAGCCGAATTTCATTGCGAGGATTGTTTTAGCACTGAGCTATACTGTCAATCATGCAGAATCCTTTGCACAGAATCAAAGTAAGCTGCTCAGACATTTTGAAAACTATTATTGAACATCTCTTAGCACTGGAAGGACACATTTTTTCATGATGTGACACTTAAATCTCTTGGACTGATAATTCAACTTGGACACCCCACCCAAGAGTGCTGTTACAACCTGGCTGCTTGCCAATATTTTGTTGTACTCCATGTGAACGGCATTCATGAAGTCAATCTAGACTTCTGCGGCTGTGAGACTGCTCAAAGTCTCACCACCCAGCTGCTTCACATTCAATGGTTCCCTGCAATGGTCCTAGAGCCAAAAACAGCAGCAACATTCAAACTTCTTCGACATTTTCACATCCTTTCATTCAAATCTAAGGTGTCCACATTCGAGTTTTGGCAGACGTTAACATGTCTTACTCATAATAGGGGGTTGTTGTCATGAAAGTAAGATGACTCTTATTTGCAGTTTTGTACATATCTGACACTCAATGATAGGACCGTTATGATGCTCTTCTTCGAATGATATGGGAATGGAGAAACACTACTATGCTCAAACACTTTGAATGGGCACATGATCCCACAGGCACCAACACGACAGAGCAAGGTTCATGTGCAGTCTTGTGTCTGGCCTGTCCTCAACTGGGGAAGAATCTCCCCGAGGACTGGGAGAGTGCCCTGCCAGAAACATGGTATGAGCTTCAACCTATATGTTAAAATTGCGCTGACTAAGGTTATCCAGCTGGTTATATGCATTTTTTCTTGTGATCAATGCCAACTTCTGTCTGGCATGCAAGAACATTTCTTCAGATCAGATGGACCCTGGGCTCAACTGTGGCTTGGCATACTTTGTGGAGGAACAACAATACAAGACATTTCTTACTGATGTCGGGAGATGTCCACAGGAGGTGATGTCATTTAATATAAATCAGAAATTTGTCTCACAGCAGCAACTCAGAAAAGTACATGTGTAAGCCATAATGCAGTCAATTTAGCGGAAATGAAAAACTCTCGAGGCTTGGCAGCCACTGGAGCAGGAACAGTTGACTGCTCATGGCATAATTTTAAATGCCCCTGTGGTGTCAGTGACTTGCAAAAAGGTGAAAAGTACATGGTTGATGACATGTCTGATTTAACTCTATTACTGATGCTAGCATTTTTATAGGTACGTGAACATGGACTATCTATTTTTTTCAACCATGCAACACATGGGGGACATCGCCGTCCTGAATGTATCTTACAACATCGCTTGCCAGTGGAGCAAACATTTGTGGCAGCACATGGGTCAATACCCATCTATGATTCATCTCCACCACCATGATAATAAGACCATCAAATTTATTGTTCCAAAATTCCATCTACCTGTGCATATTAAAACCTGCCAGATCACTTACTCTCACAACCTCCTCAAGGGCATGGGGCGGATGGATGGCGAGGTGCCCAAGTGTGGCTTGGCCAACATCAACCTGGTCGCCACAAGTACTTGTGAGATGGGCCCAGGATCACGCTGTGATACTCTGGATGACCATTTTGATGATTTTAATTGGAAGAAGGTTACAAATATGGGTAAGTATAATCAAAGTATGTACTTGATTGACTACATCTGACTTGCATTTAGGCATCAGTCTATCACGAAAGCTCAAAGCTGCTTTACCTGAACATGACCAGCATGTACGCGATTTTGAAGACTTCAACAATGCACTTGAACATGAGAGACCTGAACAAGTGGCAGAGTGGACGTTGGCAGTGGAACGATGGGAATCAGATTCATCGCAAGAGAATCCTTTCACACCTACAGGTAAACATATGTCACTATCATGTCCAAGGAATGCGAGAAGCTTACTATCCTCTAGTACTAACACAAGCAGCTGTACGACTCAGTCTCTCTCAGCAAGAAGCTGAAAACCTTGAGCATGCATCAGGAAATCTCGACTTTACCTTCTCAGCCTTGTAGTACTTAAAATTCACTTTTTCACTAATTTTCTGCACATGGAAAGTGGCCACTGTGAAATTAAGTTGGAAGACTAAAAAGTGTAATAAGAGAAAAAGCGGGCACTCCAACTAGCATAAGTAGTAGCACAAAAATACAAGTCATGACTGGCATAAAGCTCAACACCAAACTTCGAGGTGTCGCGCTTGTCAGTGCTCCATTCATGGTTACTAGTGGGTATGTACCGACCGGTGTCACTAACAAGCTATTTCAAAGGCGTGATGGTCAGCAAATTTATTCACATAGAACAGTTTGAAGATGTCAAGGACATGATGGAATTTGATCAATGGTGAGAGTGGTGCTGTACTGTAGACTGGAATTAAATGAGCTGCGTGAAAAATAGTGTTGATATGAATCACTGCAAAGTGTGGGGTGTGATTTGCAGAAAAAGCTGGCTTCACCAACCACATGCCAGTGTCAGGATCAGGTGCATCACCAACTCGATCAAACCAGTGGACCACCACACATGGAACCCATCTGCCGTGTTGTCAAAGGGAGAAGAATGCCATAACGTGGGCTACATCCATGCCTCCCATCCCATGAGCATCTGGGTTGGTAATCACAAAAACACAATCATTGCATGCACATTCATTTCTCCATAAGGGACATGTGCAGATATATTCATGCTTCATGCTGCTGATACCACTAAGGTCACTGGGTTCATGAAATGTCGATGACGCAGAGTTGAATACAGAAATTTGACCCCGATAGTATGGGGACTCTAAGAGAGAGACTTTGGTAGGGTCACGAGCATCGTTGGGATTGGACTGTTCGAAAAGGAACCATCAAACAAGCTCGGCCAGGTTGGGAATGTTAAGCTCAGCACTGAGCCCTGGAATGTATCGTGTGTGCTTCATCCCTTCTATTTATTCATTCTCAGTATGTGAAATGAAAATTGGTGAGTGCGGCTGTACTTATGTGGTGTCTTAGCGAGTTCTACATGTGCAAGGACTGACATGGGGTCATCAACAACCTCAAAGTCTGCACCTCCATCATCTTCTCCAACTCCAGCAGGCAAGATGGCAGGTGGCTCTTATTGGTCTATATTGTCGTGATGCTCCTCAGGGGGGGTTTGTGCATTCAATGCTGCAATGACAGAAGATAGACAGGTGCCATTAAGCATCCCGTGAGCCCAAAAATCTTGATGTGATGTAGTCAACTTGTCCAGGTGTTCATTGGTCATGAGCATCTGGCCTAGTGCTTTATAGCAACTCAATCGTCTCCATGGTTCCTTCAAGGCTTTGATGTGCTTGGATTCCGTGATAGAGGAACAAAGTCCATTGTAGAACATGTGACGGACCTTCTATCAATGTCATCCAGAATAACATCAGCCTGTGTTTTTCCGTGTGTCTGCACGAGATATTTTTCAACCCAGACCACCAAGTGATCCTTGAAGATGCCCTTTATTATTTGGTGGAGGAGATCTGGTGCAATGAGTTCATGTATATTGGCGCGGGGAAAGTCATTTGTAAACGACTATACAGATAAATCAATTCCAATTGTCAAGTAGTGAACACGACACTCCCAGACTTACCACAAGTTGGGCGACAATTCCGAACTCATCCCAAAGTGCCAAATGGTCACACTCTTCAATTAGTGCCTCAGTATGTGTTTTTGAGCGTCGGAGACTATCACCGTCAAGACTCTTGTGATACAAAAGACATCTATCATAGATTTAGAATCAATACAACAAGAAGTACTACTTACTTAGCACATCAATTTTTGACTATGCATGCTGTTACAGTTGTCTGTGACACCTTTCATTTTCATCTTCACCTTTCACATCTTCACCTCTTCACATTGACACCATGTCACAGTGTCATATACCTGATCCGACCGCTCCAATATCAATATCCACCCCGCTCTCCGACAACCTCCGCTCCATCTATTCCTCCGCTCCGTCCAACCATTGACCGCATCCGCCCCTATGCTTCCGCTCGACCGCCCAACCAGTCCCCTTCCATAATGCCTCCATTCAACTGGATCTGCTTTCCCCTTTTAGATATATACTTCCCCCTTTGGTACATAGACCCTTACTTCCAGATCACCGGTAATTCCTATTACCGCTTGATCACTGATCCGACGTGTACATATCAATATCCGCTCCGACTTATGTCTTCACCTGTGTAAAGTACTTACAAACTATATCCTTGGTACATAGCTTTACTACATAGTTATCCTGATCACTGCCTCATACATATAAGTATATAACATATCCTGTACTTAGATATTTTCCTCAGTCTTAATATTACTTGTCTTCTCACAGTTACCTCTTGTGAGAATTCTCAGTAGGACCTTGCCTCCTCTGGACACAAGTCTCAACTTGTTGTCACCTCCGACCCTCCAACCCTCCAACCCTCCGCTCTGACTTAGAGCCGTGCTCTAAGTGTCCCCCTTATTTCTCCACCCCTATCAATATTCCCCTTGTCCCTTTTCCCATCCTCCGCATTATCCTCTGCCTTCCCCGCTCCTACCAAACATTCCCCCTGCTCCTATCCACCCTTCGCATTACTCCCCACCTTCTCCACTCTGCTCCTAGTCAGCCCACCGCTAGTAGCTCTTACTTCCCGACCCTCAAAGTGGACCTAAGCAGTCCACTCATCCTATCGTTGGACCCGCTCCAAATTCGGGGCACATACTCGGCTAAGGGCGCAGCGCAAGAGCTGAAGCCAAACCCTGACCCCTCTGCTTCCTGAGCTGGCACGGTACCTAACACACAGTATCACCATTTCCCGATATCCCCCTATCTAGGGTTACTCTATAACTTCACCTTATCACAGGTGCATACTCTATTCATTGATCTGAGATCAATATCAATCTATCCTCAGCAAGTCCTCAGATATTACTTACATGCTGATACCTAGTGTATTCTCACAGACCCTTTAACATGCATACACCATGTGTATTCCCATGGACACTTATCTATACTTATATGGACATATTACTTACTTACCCTGGACCCTGACTTACTATTGTATATAAGCAGGTTGTAGTCTCAATGATTCCTCATCTTGACCTACACTGGAATTACCCAGATACATTCTCGACATACTAGTTAGACACTAGTGAATCCACCTTGATTCCTTTGACTTCTCTAGAGTGCCACCTCTAGTAGATTGATTGACTTGAAACCTCCTCTGATTACCATCAGTGTAACACACATGAGTGATACTTGTTCTTCATAGTCAGCAATATATGGGCCAAGTCCATAGATAACATGGCGATAATGACCATCACCAAAGCGTGCAACTTCAGGCTTTGTCATTGTGGGCTTCAAGTTTTTCAGTATATATGAAAGTGATGAATGAAATAGTTGGCAACGGAAATTGTGGAAATTTGTGGTCTTAGTGTGTTGTTTAGTTCCTTTATTGGTTGTGAGGTTAGTGAAGATGTGGGAATGGAGAGAAACTCACTCTTCAGCATTGCTAGAAATCCAATTACAGCAACCACCTTACAGTGAGCACAGCACACATTGTTGTGAACATTTCTGATTGACATGTACAGTGGGTAATAGTCATTCTGGCCAGTTGCAACTGATACTGTGGTTTTGTTGCTGCCAAGAATCACAGGCACAAATGTCAAGCCATGAGTGTCCAGATCATCAGAAATTTGGTCCTGTTTAGTTCTTAATTAGACCATCTAGTGTGAAAAAGAAGGGGACAGCTTACCGCTTGATTCCAAGCCCAGTCGCCAGACATAAAGTCTTGCCATTGGCGCTCGTCAGTTTTAGTCATGAACTCACAGTAAGGCTGCAGATCCATCTCCAGGGTATAATCAGGGTTGGCAAGCATATTCTGAACAACATCATGAGGATTGCAGAACCAAACATCATAGCTATCTTCCATCCAGGGTGCGGCGTCATCAACTGCATGCTCCCCAGTGTATTTGAGCAAGCACAACTGCCATTGCACATCACCCAAATGAGTACTGTCAATGGGCTTGTAGACATCACAGTGGTCTGTGAATAGCGCATCAGTATTAGCGCCACCTTGGATTAGCGAATCTGCCCAGATATCAAGAAGGTGGTTGATCTGCACCACAGGTGTCTGATTCTTGGTAAAGATATAGTTGGCAAGCTCAAACTCTAACCGATCAGCATAGGGAGTCCAGTCATTGGATGTTTTATCTGACAACAGTGGAGGTGGAGTTCCAGGAGGAAGGAAGTTCCCTTCTGAATCGCATGGACGAGCTTTTGAAATTGATGGTGTGTCAGATAGAGAAAATGCAAAAAACAAAGGAAAAGTACCAGTTAAGTTAGGGTGGTAGTTTTGATACAAGCAGTCACCAGGACCAAAGAACTCTGCAGGTGGTTGTACAGGACCAGGAGTGGCAGCACAATACTCTTTGTTCAAGTTGGCGCCATCATATTCTTCAGGATTGATATCTGCATAAAAAAGAGGCAAAGGGAATCAATTGGACTGAGGTGGACACAAGGGTGCAGTACTAGTAGTAAAGACTGAATGGACGGTGTTTGTATATTGTGTGAGACCAGACTTGTTCCTGAACCAGTGGTTGCATCCTGGTTTGGTGCAAGGAATGTGAAGGGCATTAAACCCTGGTTTGACATGCGATATGGCAAACTTGAATGGACAGCAGAGCAACCTGAATGATGTGTACTAGTTAGTATTACAGCGCTGTTTGTCTGAGTTTAGAATAGCATGTTTTGGCACTTACAAAAGTTTCAAATTCTTGTCTTCAGTCTATTTCCCTTCCCTGCATCTGAGCCATCTACTACTGCTTTTATTCTTCCTGCTATGGTTTCTACTCGTGATTCAAATAAAGATAGGCATCCTGGTGATATTCTGAAAAAGACTACGAAGAAGAGGTGCACTGCCAAAGAAATTACAGAGGAAAATCAATGGAGCAAAGAAGCGCAGGAAGCTTAGGAAAAAGTCACCCAACATGGTATTGATCGTGTTGGAGCAATAGAGGCCTGGATGGAACAAGAGCAGGCAGCAGCAGTATTGAAGGTGGCACCTGTAAAGCCAAAGCCTCGGCAAAGGCAGTCAAGAAGAAGCAGGCTACTAATGATATCCCTTCAAATGGTTGCATGGCATCAGAAGATAAGAACAGTAGTGAGTCTACAGGTTGCTTACCTTGATAGGCATCACTAACATTGACAATACAGACATAGCAGGGGATGAGGCTGAGCCAAAGCCAAAGGGGAAGGGCAAGCAGAAAGTAAAGAATGTGTTGTTGCACGACACTATTAGTGCTGTGAGGATGAGAAAGCAGATTGAGGATCAGCCGAGATCTGTTGATAACAATTGTGTATGTGACCAGAAATGAAACTCAGTGTTAGTGACATTTCTATCTCACACCATCATGCTAATACTTACCAAGTTGACACTTTACTTTCTAAACCTGACAGCAAAATTCTGAAGCAAGAAATTTAGCATGTCTGGGCAGATTAATAACTGGTGTGATAAACTTGAACCAGACTCGAAGCAGGAATCCTCACAACCAGCCTCTATTTTAAGTGGGACAACTCAAAGTGTTCCCTGCTCAACAACTTCCAAGCTGTCCTGCACAACTGCAGCAACTACTTTTTCCAGTGCAACAGAACCCCCACCTACCCCAACAAAGACTTCTGGGTCCGCCGACTATGCCAATGCCTCAGACAATGACCAGAGCAACAGTGATTCTGAAGAGCGTGCGGCTGCTATCGCAAGCAAAGGAAAAGGAAAAGCTGGCATGAAGGTAAGTTGCAGCTGATGATGAAACACGTGCTTACTGTCTATTTCAGACATTTGTTGAAATCGAGAGTGGCTCTGACTCCGAAGAGCGTGCAGCCGCTATCACAGGACAGGAAAATCAGAAAGTTGCCATGCAGGTAAGTCGCAGCTACTTATGACCAACAAGATCTGTACTGACAGTTGGGATTGGCAAGGAGCCTCAGGCTAGTAATGACGACTCAAACATGCCACTGGCTGGTACTCCCTTTGCTGATTTGCCTTACAGCAAACAATTAGAAATTGTCAGCTATGCATTAAAGCAAGCTACACCACATACCATTGGCAAGAGGAAGATTGAAGAGGTCATGGTTGAGTCAGACGAGGACGGAGATGAGGATTGCCTTGACCATAATTTAAACTTCAATAGGCCACCCAGCACTTATGTATGTGGCAGAACAACTTTGGTTCCACTGCGATTGCGCTTGTTTCTAATTTTTTGTCAGCTGTGAATGAAAACAATGACAATGATGAGCTAGCAGATGACAATAGCATTGATGTTGACACAGACTTGGATGCCCAGGAGAAAACCATGGTACATACATCAATAAACTACAATGTTCTGTACAGAGCTGTACAACATGCAAGCTACACAGCTTGGTCCCTTGTTAAGGTTGTGCTCAAGGGGGAGGTTACTCAAAGGGCTTCAGCTTCAGCTCGTGCGCTGCGCCCCTTACCTGAGTACATGCCCTTAATTTCTGAGGGCAGAGGGGAAGTCCGATGAAAGTTCAGGGAATTCCGGAGGACAAACATTGGTGGAGTGCAGCGGAACTCTGGAAGATTATGTGGGGATGGAGTAAGACTACTATGGAGGTCCAGAGTAGAAACAGAACAGAGATTAGACTACCCTAAGGTAGAGCCGGAGAATTTAGTCCTAAGGTTTAATCCCTAAGACTTGGAGGTGGACAAGAGATGAGACTCAAGTCCAGAGATTTCAGGAATTAGCAGAACTAAGATGATATTCCAACTGAGGAGTCCCAGAGTATTACAGGAATTTATATACTGTAGGTATCATGTAAGTAAATCAGCCAGCAAAGGTAAGGGCTACGTATGAAACATGTGGAAAGTCTATTAGTATGTGTAACAGATCAAAGCAGTGAAGTCAGAAATGAAGTAAGAATGGACGGATCAGTAAGCATAGCGGAATAGGACATAACTGGTAACTGGAGCAATAGCTGATCTAAAAGGAGTTAGGGGTGAGTGTGGAGATGAAGGCGGAGCGCAGGGCGGAATAGCAGGGCGGAGAACTGGTCTTTAATGGAGTAGATCCGGAATTCCGGATCCGGAGGTACGGGATATGACATCCCTGCTGGACAGTTCACCACAGTTCCACACTGTACTACACTCCCTCGTGAATTTTTGTACAGACAATTCACAGACACCCAGATTGAAGGTTCTTTACAGAGTTTACCAATAACATATCAATTGCTCAACTGTCTTCACATGCACAAATAAGGACAATGATCACAATATGTATTGGATTAGACAACGCGGCGGAAAACATGCACAGTATCCTAAAAGTAAATGATGCTCAACTCATAGTGAAATGAACTTGTATATAGCATCAAGAACCCTCAATTGAGCACGACCTGTAGATGATGGTGCTTCGAAGTGTCATTGCCATCGACCTTGAAGGATTCTGCCCTGTGTGGAAAAAAATATTAGTATCGAAAAACTTGAAAAAAAAATCTTGCCATCCGGACACAGACCACAAACAAAGTTGTTCTACCAGCTTTGGTTCGTGATAAGGATGCCGATTCATATCTTTGAGTAGCTCAACCATCCTGATATAGATAGACTTATACTCCTTGGCAGAAAAATTCAGGTATGACTTTCCATTACTGTTTTTGACTAAACTGTCGAGGACCCAATTGAACTAGAAAAAAATGGTGTCAGCATGTTGTCAAGTGAGTATGAGTACCAAAAAATACCGCAGTGCAAACCAAAGCTAAGCACTCCAGTGGTAGTTGCTCATGGAAAATCTTGGGTTGCCTGTGAGCCACATGATAAGATCTGGTGTAAAAGAACAAAATGGTGGCTTCACGAAGCGCAGGGTGAGCAGCATTTTGAGTTTTTCTGAGACCATCTACACCATTGCGCAGAAAAAGAGATGATTCCAGTAATTTTGCAGCATGGTCTTCAACCCATATAGCACATTCTTGGGGGGGGACATGAGATGGTGGAATAAGGTCATACATAGAAGGTGCGATATGATAGCGATTTTTTTGAGGTCTGAGCGCCATGTCAATAGATCTTCAAACAGCTGAGATATAAAAAAAGCATGTTAGGCACCGGGCATGCAACCAAAAATGCAGACACACGAATACTTACGAGAAATACTTACTGCCTTTGACTTGTTGACTGCTTTCAAGTCATTGTACAAGCGAAGCTGTGAGGATCTCAGGGGTGGTTCCCGACAAGCCGTCAATGAAGGTCGGGAATGGATTCTCTATCACATGCTGGACACGACACTCTTCCTTCGTTTCCTCAAGGAACTTCTTCCAATGAGGACCATACCAACCCAGCTGCATAGCCTTGGGTCCTTCACCTGCTATCTTGGCTGATACCTTGTGAGCTTTGATATTTGTATCACTTGACTTTGAATCAAGAGGTTTGGTCTCAGACTGATGCAAAAGATTGAGGACGGCAGGATCAGGCAGGCAGGGATGTCCATTTCGCTTATGGTGAAGCTGTAGAACATCATCAGGAATATACTCCATGGGCTTCAAGGAAGAGAAGTTTAGCAGACTTCAGAGAAACAAATAATATATACCTGGATTGTACTGTCATCGTCACTGGATGTGTCAGCTGCTAAATTCTTCTTGGCCATGTTTTCATCCTCATCGCATGAGTGTTGGAACTCAAAGTCAGTTGGAAGAGCAGTGGTGACACGAGGTTGGGATGGCACAAATTCCTTTGAAAAACCTGTCTCGTGCTCAGTATGATCAAAATTGCGAGAGTGAATTACTTACCAGGATGTGCAGTAAGATGCTAATATACTGCTCCCCATCTGACTTCCTGGTCTTCGACATCGTCTTCTTCTTCTTCTTCTTCTTCTTCTTCTTCTTCTTCTTCTTTTTCTTCCTCATCGTCATTGTTGTCATCAGCAGATGCATCTGAACTTTGAGATCTGGTATCTCCTGCTCCCGAATGTACATCTTCAACTGACATCAGAGCAGGGTCCAGGTTCTTGTAGAACTTAGCATCAGATTGATGTATAACTGATGTGGATTGTGAAGGTGCTGGTTGCACCAAATTGTTGTTTCCAGAGGTGGTGGTAGTGGGTGGAAGACATCTAGTGGGATTCAAGGAAGCTGACAGAGCACAATGTTCCCTGGTGGCCGCTACATAGGGATTATTGAGTCCTTGTAAGTCAGGCTCCATGCCAGGAGGGACAATGGACTGTGCAAAGCCAAACCGGCCACCAGCTTGGCAGTGAGAAAAAGCGGGACACATATTCAATACATCTGAGTCAGTGGTAAGAGTGAGAGCATTCTTCATTGCTTTACTAGTACCTTTCTTCCTCCCTGTTTTGGAAGTTGCAATATCCTCCACTGTTTCCAAGATGGTATATGGCGGAGGGGGTTTCTATCGATATTCAACATTGCTATTCAAGACCAATGTAAACAGACCTGCCTTTGAGAGACTCCCACGACCCTTACAAGGTGGTTCAGGTGCAAGAGGATTGGTTGGTACATCCAAGTCAAGGGAGGTGGAGCCCTTGGGCTGAGTAGTTCGCACTGGGGCATCCAAGAGAGCACCAATTTTTTCAAGTTGCTCTGCCCTACCTCCTTTTCCTGCGCCAGGACGCCCCAGAACATCGAGCTGACAGTTTGTCTGCAGAAATTGCTTGCTGCAACACCACACCGGATGCCTTGGCCCCAGCATGCGACTTCTTTGCAGAATTTGCTTGACCATCAGAATCTACAGCTTTACACTTTGTTTTCTTCTGGCTAGCGCAAGGAGGCATGACTGGACCACACTGAGAGTAGAACTAGTGATACAATCAGCACAAGTAAATCACTGGGAGATACAGACCATCTTTTAAGGCTGACTCATAATCAGATCATCACAAACACATTGAATGTCTCCAGTGCCTGCAGGTAGCGTGAGAGAACCTTGCAAAACTGAATATAACGTCTTTCGGAAATATGAGTCGAGCTGCAGAGAGTGTGAGCTTAAACATGTGGAGGCAAGGTAATGATTCATGCACATGCTTTATTTTACACTAAGTACAGAATGGGGATATCATGTGACTCATACTTGTGTGCTGGTATCGGATATCAAAGATGACATAAATGCTATACTGGTAAACTTCAACTTAACTACCCAGTTTTGTTCCTCTTTGGCTTGGGTACAACTTCCATCGTCCACTGGTGATCAACCACTTGCTTCTGTCATGTCTCATCTACAGATGACGCAGCAGTAGATGAACCTGCCACTGAGAGAATGACCCATTGGAGACTAGGAGCTCAGCAGAGTCCTCCTTTGGAAGTGTGGTGATGTGTGTATTCAGCAGATTAATTATGTCATCAAAGACCAACCGCTTGGGGTCTCTAATGATTTCATACCACTCTAATGCGAGTGGAAGGAGAGATTCAAAGTAGGGATCAAACTGTTTGGCAAGTTCCATAGTGTAGTGGTCCAATTGATGAAAAAATCGAGTCTTGCTATCCCCACATTCTTGGTATGTCAACACGGACCATTCTCGCGTTATCCATTTTACATGTTGCTTTGAATACTGTGGGAGAGTAATAGGGAGAACACGCTTCATGGCGAGAGGGCCCCTGAATTCAATACAGACCCAGATGAAAACATAAAACATCAACTTGAGATCGTCACTGTAGACATGCTTGATCATGGGGGCTGGGTATGGTTTCGATCCTAAGGCTCGTGTACCCATGCGCTCATCCAATGGACCCAGTGTGTTGAGGTAAAGCTGGAAGAGAAGCGATCACGACATGAAAGGTATTGTGCCCTGAGATTGTAAGACATTATTAATTTATATTTATATTCTAGAAAGAAACCAAAACACTAACTGTGCCCCCGACACCATATTGATCGTCTCGTGCAATCTCTCAGCAAACTCCCAGTCTATCGACATCCCATGGGAGCCATTACCATCATCCCCAATCATTGCATTATTCAAACTACAATCATGATGAAGAACCCGGTTCTGCTCCACTGCAAGCTTCTGAACTGAAAATCTTGTGAGTGAAACAGTTAGGTACATATGATCAAAATTACTTACTCTTCAAGATGTCCCATATCACGGTTAAGAACTCTGTATGTGAACGGAATTGATACAAGGGTTGCACGCAGGGCTTCAAGACCAGGCAAACATGTGTACAGGAGGTGCCTTGTATGCTGTGCAGGACCTTTTGATGATACTTCACTGTTTCATCAACCTCACTGGGCTCCATCTCCACAAGCCAATATTCAACAAGGCAAGGAACACCACAGATCCCATCCATCTTCTCCATCATACAAATTTCATTCAGGACCTCCGATTTACCCCCGAGAACCCAGTGATCCTTAATAATATACTCTTCCTCGTCCTTCCTGACCAGATAGCATGTCGTGCCATGACCAATGAGGCCTTGGGTGGAGAATATCAGATCTAGGATATCGTACATATTCTGATTTACTCATATTTTTCCTATCGGCTCTGGGAGGGGTTCACAGAGAGGATCTTTAGGGACTTCTTCTATGGGGAGGACCATGCTTAGAGGGATGTTGGCTGCAGGGCTGGGCACTGTGTCCTCTATGGCAGGCTTGCTCACAGTCTCTTCAATCTGGGCGGTCTCACTATCCACAATCTGCGCATCTTGGATTGCCTTAGTAGTCTGGTGCGGGAAAGGTGAGTTTTTGGCAGGGTGGAAATCAGGGGGTCAATGCGTGCAGTGAAGCATGTGTTTCAAGATACTGATCATGGGGTTGAACCTGATACACGAGATTACCGAGGACAATGGATGAAAAAAATTGTAAGTACTTGTCTGGCTCTCGATCAATATGCGTGCAAGGGCTGACAACACAGTCCGAGTGGTCATATAGGTGGACGCAAAGCTCATGATACCCATTGCAAATGGAGACCATCAGTGTGAAGTGTCTCCATGGTTGGTGTTTGAGAAGCAGGTAAGCCTTGCTGTGAAGAGTTTTGGCAAGGGGATGTGAAGGTAAGTATGGACTCGAAGTCAGCTTGCATATGGCCTTGATTGTGTCCCATATAGCCTTGATATCATTGAGTAAGGTGAGGTCTGGTTTGCGTGTGATTTCATCGCCACATACTGGGCATGAGGAGTTTGATGCACTCCAGACATGAGATAAGTTATGCTTCTGAGCGAGTGCAGGCTGCTGCAGGAGGAGGGTGAAGGAAAGGATGTTATAGAAGGATGCAAAAATCTGTTTGGTCATCCATGGTTTTGTGTTATTGTGGACGACTTCACGGAGTACTGGGGTTCTGTCACCACTGTTGGTTCCATGTTGGACACTGGAAGATCTGGAATTTATTGACATTTTGTCATCCTCAGGCTGGCCAACACTCTCAGCCTGAGACTCAGAGGCAGTGGGTGCGCCAGTGTCATTGACAAAAACCCAATCTCCCGACTTCTCATTCATGGTTCCACTATTTTCTCCTTCCCTCTCTTCCTGGTTCATGCTACTCTTCTCTCCTGCCTGCTTACTTTTTCGCCTAGTGAGTTTGTCTAAATGTGAGTCTGGGAGTGGCCAGTTCCAACAGTGTGCCTGCGTGTTATAGAGTGGTACAAGGGTTGCTTCATTCTGAACCTGCTGAAATGCTTCAATCCTGGTGTCAGGGTGGATTTTCTTCAACGGAACTTTAAGATCCTTTGCCTTTGGAACCTCAGTTGTACAGGACTTGAAGGTCAACAATAATACATGGCCTAGCTCTTCACTGTTGGCAGGTGGAGATTCCTGCAAGATCAAGCGAATAAGTTCCGAGCTGGTAAGTTTATCCATTGTTGTTATGTTGTGAGCCTCTGGAGCTGACATCAAGGATGCCAGCTTCATCCCGAGGCCCCCTGAACAGAAATGTTTGCCAAGTGGCATGATGGAGTGCTAGTACTAGGAATGTGTGGGTATGAATATGACTACTTTTGGCACTCTCTTTGATACTACAAAAACGGCCTTATATTGCATCCAATCTTAGACTGACAGCACAAAGAAAGCACTTTTATCCCAAAACTCATGCAGCCAAAACTCTGCGGCATGCTCCAAACTGTTGTATGCTGTGAGACACTTGTCAGCAGTAGCACCAAAATGAGGGACGAGGTGAATGGGATTCCTCAATTGAGCTACTGGAATAACATCACCCATCCGGTTTCCATTTGAGTGCTTCGCTCGCTTGAGTATGTGAAGCCATGTAGTCGGATCATGATCATTTGAGAGATCAAAGTGTTGGACATACGTGAGGAACCGATCCTTCCAGGACCATAGTGCACTACTCTTGCCAATGGGTTGCATAATAAGTCTAATCTGCGCGATTGTGTGACCTGTAACAGTTGAGTAAATTTATTGTAATACAGGACAGAAAGCGCACCTGAAAAACGACTACTAGGCCATGAGTAGCCTGCACTGGTCTGGGCAATGATTGTATCATAACAGCCTAGAATCCACAGGTCATTTGGTGGCGCACAATTTAGTGTCTGAGCTGGTTTGATGGTGTGAGTGTCGTGGAATTCCATCTCTTGCAAGCGAATTTTGAACCAGACTTGGACTTTGTCGAACAGGAGAACAGCAGTAGGTCCAGCCCTTCTAGGGCCCCCTATTGCATGAACGTGCTGGTGTCCATAAGTTGCCTCGTGTTGAAGGAAATCAGCTATGGCTGGTCATAGATCTGGTAAACCAAATTTTATAGCGACGTCATCAACCGTGGTGTTCCAAATGGAGGGCTCATATGAAAGATGAAAGGCAGTGCATTTGTTGACACAGGAGCGAAGTGGTAGAGGCACTGAACCCACTTCTCAGTGTTGGAGTGCCTTAGAAATTGCAAAATAATCCGTGATTTGGCATGGGTGTCGGGTCAGGTCGATGGGAATATCTTGTGTGTCAACGTCAATGTCGGTATCTTCAGCATCCAAGTCTAACCCCTCTTCCTCAACCCTCTGCTCATGATCCAGAAGGCCGGTGGCAAGCTCAAAATGACGACATTTTTTGGCATGGTTGAGGTGTCAACAAATTTGTGTGTCATAATTGTTGTTATTGCTTGATCTGGTGGGATCTTTGATCTCCATAATGTGGGCATGTTCAGTGATGTCGGCAGATCACTGTTCTATAATGCCAGAGTTGTGAATGCTGGGAACGATACTCTGCATTAGCTCCAGCTTTGGGATATGAAAGTTGGTAATGATTCTATTGCCCTTCCCCTGATGAGCCCCAGCAGCAAGGATTGCACCCTTGTTTGCGTGGAACTCATTTAGTGCACCTGAGATGCACCCGAGATCTTCCTCATCAACATGCGGCGACTGTACGAGATATCAGAACTGCATGAGCGCCTGTACAGCAGCGATGACACCAGCAGGTGCTGCATCTGCACTGACGGTGATGATATAATGTTGAATGTCTCATTGACAGCAACTGGTGACTTGTTTTAGCTTGGAGATGCCACCGTGAAAGTGCCGATAACTGGTGACAGGCCATAACACCGAGAATCAGAAATCTATTTCAGAATGTCCAACAGGATTAATGAGCCATTGGGCATCATGGTCAAAGAACTCTTTATGAAGGTTGTGGAGTGATTCTGGTGTAAAAAAATGGGAGGGGTCTGCTAGAATGTAGTCCCACCAGAATGGTTTGTCGATGCCATTCAGTCAGAACTTCTGTGCCTCATGGAAAAACACCTTGATATCATTGGGATCAGCACATGAGCGCACAACAGTAAGCTGTGCAAGAGTCATTGATTTTGTCCAGGGTTCATGACGGAATGCATCCCCAAACTCATTTTTCCACCAACGGTTGCCAGCATCATGGCTTCGGGGGTGTCGGTGATATAGCTCACAAGAGCAGTGAAGCAATACCAACTGTATCTGATAGGATCAGACAGCATGATGCCATGTTGAGCAGCCTGCTTGAGTGGTTCAAGAACGATATTGAGGCATTCATGTATGAGGCGATCCTCCAATACGCCCTTCATTTGCTTTTTCTTGTGAATGAACTTGGGGACTGGTAACAGAGCAGCGAGAACGAAAGAGTTGGTTGATGATTTTAGGCATATGTTCATATGGATGTTGGCAAGGCTGATTAGGAGCAGATGAGCCACATGATCCCCCATTAATGCAGTGATATTCATCTTGTCAGAGGAGAGAATGGTGCCGAGGAGGGTTGCACCCTTGGGTATTGCCAACTTCAAGAATACTTGAGTGCCAGACTTCAATATTCGACTATCTACTCACCTGCATGTCCCATGTGTCATTTCCTGACATCCATCCAGAATATATGCGACACAACCTCTCTGCAGTAGAGTAAACCTTGCAAGGCGTGAAGTCTATATGATTGTGAAATAGTGGGTGATTAAAGATGCTGGCAATACATTCAATAGAGTCACGCCAGTACAGAATTACAGGCAGTTTTGTAGGATGTGATGTATGGATTACTTGAGACTTCCAGCGTGGATTGCTGGGGAGCATCTCAGCTCTACCATGTAATTCTTTCGCAGAGCGAAATGACAAGGGTAAATCCTTGATCTAAAAATATGTGAATCATTTGCAGTGAAAATGAAGTATACACACTGACCATTTCAAGCAATATAAAAGAGTTGATCTTCCCCATGCTCAGGCCCAAACGTAGCAGCCATGCTGCAACTTGCCAATATTGTCGGCTGCTAAACGGATAGTAAAGGTTGATTTTCCAATATACACTGTTTTCGTCTGCATCAAACAGCCCCCAAAATGTGTAGCCATCCTCATAGGCCAGAGGAGGCTCTGGAAAGTAGTCAGTTACTTCACTGTGCACTTCATGACCCCCGGTTCCCTCAGGTACATCCTCTTCTCCTCCACCACAGAAATCATGAAAACTTTCCTCGCCTCCAAGTCCCGGATCATAGGAAACATGAGGAAGTTCATCAATGTCATCTGGCGCTGAGTTCATGTTATAATCTTCACTGGGCGAAATGGAACTAATCATCTAACCACATGTTGCATCCAGACCGAGGCTGGCTCAGATGACGAGCAATGGAAGTATGGTCT